CGGGCGGCTGCTGAGTCTCGGCCTCGCTGCTCATGGTTGCGGTGATGGTGACTGGGGCCGGCTGCGGCAGCTGCGGCTCCTCCCGGGGTGTGATGGTAACTAGGCCGGCGGCGGCGGTGGGGCTGCTCAGGGCTCTCTGGGGTCCGCTCTCCGCTCCCGCTACCGATCGAACTAGCGAGAATGGCGGGACGGGCGGGATAAGCCCTGCGATCGACCCGCCCCAAGCATCGTTCACTGGCCAGCACTGCTGTCAATCTCACCACCTGACCCCAACTCCTGGACTCTATTGGCTAGTACTTTATCACTCCTCCACTCTCATTGGCTCTTAGGCGGCTAATTCGGCCGACCTACAACCGTTCCTGCCTCCGCCGCCGCCATAGAGACCGGAACTAGAATTAGAGTAGAGTCACCATGAGAACCATAGAGTACCGGAGAGGACTGGCAGAGTGAACGTGACTTTCACGAGGCTGCAACGCGGGCGGGAGGGCCCCCAGTCCAGGGCTAGATCCTGGCCGAAGGAAGGGGACCGTCAGACGCCTGATCGGATTACCTGGTCTGACCCGGGGTCTTGGAAGGGCACCGGACGACACCTAGCCTCGGGTCGAGGGAAGGCCTTCCTCTCTCCCTCTGCTTTAAATGTGGTCCTTGTGACCTCAGACCATCACTGCAGATACAACAGTATTTTCTACAATGGCCATGTACTCTCCGCACAGCGAGGGTGTCTAGAACTGACTTAAACGTATGCATTCAAAGAGCGTCCGTTTTGGCGGAGCAGTCACCTTGGAGGGACCACGCCGTCCGTCTCACCGCCCCTGATCAGCATATTTAGGGGAGGGCGGTGGTGTACTCCACGGGGACCTGCTTTCTGAACCTTCTTACCAGGCATAGAACTGTCTTGTTAAGTATCCACGTCTTTCTCTATTGGCCACAAATCAGATTTAATTTCAGTTCACGTTTATTGAGCAAGCTGGGCATTTTCCTTGCGCTTTATCCGTACAACAGCCATGTGAAATAGGGGTTACAATCCTCATCTCACAAACGATTTATAATTGAGGCTGCCACCTGATGTACCCGAAGTCCTCCACTTTCATTCGTTCTTCATTAAGTGTCTGCTATCGACTGGGATGCACTAGTTCGCGACTCAGTTTCTGCCTTAAATTCAGTCTAGGGATGAAGGCAGAAATTTAAATACCCCAAACTCCAAACACTCCAGCTTTGCAAAAGCACAAAGCATTTGGGGAGTGGAGGTGGGAAGAAGGTGGAGTGCTGCTGACTCCAGGCACTAGGAGGTTTATGCAAAAGCCTAAAGGCAGGAAGACAGATGGCTAATGGAAGTAAAGTAGTTAAGACTAGAATGAAGACCTCCGGTTATAAAGGTAGGCAGGTTCATATTAGGAACATTTTATTTGAAATTATCCTAAGGGCAACAGTGAGAAGGGTAATATTAGAACTGGAAGTAGGGAGTGGCAAGATTTTTTTAAAATAATGGCTAGAGTGGAGAAGGGGTTGTAGAGGGACAAATGGAAGTTGGGAGACAGTAGGCCAGTGCAGTATCATCTAGGCTGTCCATTCCACCTCCTAAAGGCTCCCCTGAATCAGTCCTAAAAATCTCTAAATACCAAACCAAGGTCTCTCATTCCTACTGCCATGACATTGGTATAGGCAATCATCTATTCCTTACAGCAGGAGTAGGCAAACTTTTTCTCTAAGGGCCAGATAGCAAATATTTTAAGCTTTGCAGGCCAGATGATTGTGTCTCAACTGCTCAACCTCAGAGACTGAAGGCAGCCAGACAATCAATAAACAAGTGCGCCCATGTTCCAAACAAACTTTATTTGTGGACACTAAAATTAGAATTTCATATTTTTACATATCACAAAATATTCTTTTGTTTCAACTATTTAAACATTAAAAAAAAAACATTCTATTCCTAGCTTATGAGCCACTGAAAAACAGGGTGTGTGATCTGACCTGCCAACCATATTGTGCTGACCCTTCACTTTAGAGCACTGCTGTGGCCTCCTAGCCACTCTCTATTTCTTTCTTTAATGTTCACCACCACAACATCCAGAGTGTTCTTCTGAAAACGTCTCTCTGAACATGACAGTCTTAGTACTACAACCCTTAGGTTTGTCCAAATTCCTTATTGTGGCTTATAGGACCGTGTAGGACTTCTCCAAACTTAACCTCTGACACTTGTTTCACATTCCTCGTTCAACCTTCCAGGTGATCTTTTAGCCATTGCTCCCTTTGAGCTATCACATACTATTCCCTCTACATATAACTCTTCCATTCTCCCTTCTTCTCTTTTTCCTGCTTAACACTTCATCCTTTGGGTCTTGCCTCAGATGTTACTGTGTTAGGAGACCCTCCTATCCTAACACACTGTGTTGCATTACTTAAATCTTCCTCTCCTCATACTGAGTTCCTGAAGCATCTGGACTGCTACCCGACACATGGTACGTTAATAATTTTGTTTTGTGAATAACATGGTATAGAGAATGGACAGGAGAAGGTACTGGCACCAGAGAGGTGGTCTGGGCAACTGTGCCAGTAACACCCAGTGAAAAAGGCTTGCAGCAATAATGCGTATGGACAGAATAGGCGGATTCTAGAACTGCTATTCATGTGTTCCAGCTCCAGGTAACTTTTGACTGTTGAAAAGAAAATGTTTTCTCAAAAGGCAGGTCTGCCAATACTGGGGACATTTAAAAGTGTGCCCTATGGGTTTGAGGCCTTTTTCCCAAGGTGGAGTTACAAAGACATGTAGAACAATGGGAGCAGCACCTCTGTGAGTAAATGAGCAATCTTCCCTATGTAACTGCTTTGAAGGGATAGCTTCCCAAACAGAAATAACAATTCTGTAACATTTGTCTTTAAAATGTTACTTAAGGGGCCCCTGAGTGCCTCAGTGGGTTAAGCCTCTGCCTCCCGCTCAGGTCATGATCTCAGGATCCTGGGATCTAGCCCCACTCTCTGCTCAGCAGGGAGCTTGCCTCCCCCCACCACACCCCCCGCCTCTGCCTGCCTCTCTGCCTACTTGTGAGCTCTCTGTCAAATAAAATAAATAAAAATCTTTAAAATGTTACTTAAAAGTATCATTACTTACTTATCCGATTATTTCATTAAGCTCTCTCTTCATGCTCACTGAGCATAAAGATGAGTTATTTAAGAAACTAGTTTCCTTGTAGCCGCCTCCATACCGCTGCAGAGATGGCAGGGAAGCACTAGAGGATAAGTAGCTCCTGTCAAAATTCAACCCCTGTGCCAAGGTGGCAGCTCTCCACTCCAGTTTCGCTAGCCCCTGCTACCCTGCCCAGTGTGGTGAGCACAGTTTAGACAACTCCAGGGCTACCCTTAAGTGATTTGAAAGGCAAGGTTCATTCCATGAATCTCCTTTGCAAACTAATGTTCACCTTGTCGTCCATTTCTAACAGACTCTGGCCCAAGAGCAGAGTTCCTTTTCCTAGAAAGCCCCCAATCTGTCAATACTTACCTCAAATATTACCTCTTCCTTTCATGCTACTCTTCCCCCGACCCCAGCATACCATTCATTGTACATACCATTCATGCAACAATTATTTCTTGAACACGTACTAGGTACTAGATACTTACCTTTTCTAGGTGCTGGGGGACATAGCAACAAAGCAAAACAGAAAACAAAACAACACAACCGAATTTCCTGCCATCGTAAGCGCTCACATTCTAATACCATGCTGAACTGAAATGTACCCATCTCCCATCACAAGCCCAATCCTACTCATCTTGCAGCTCCTGTGCCCAGGACAGAGACTGGCCGAGAATGCAGGTGCCAAGTGTAACTGAATTCAACTGAATGGCCCATCATAAGAACGTCAGTCCAGGATCTGAGCTGCTCGTCCTCCCTCCTCTCTCTCTATAGTTCCACCTTGTCTAGTTAAAGATTTCCCCTCCACTAGGTCAGTTTTTTCTTCACTTTGTCCCTCCACCCTGTTTACTTAGCTAGAGAGAGTTGCAGATATCTATATTATAGAGCCCTTGTATATTTCACCAGCTCCTTGTACCCCAAAACACTGAAATGGCACTTAAAAAAAAAGACTTTATTTATTTGACACAGAGAGAGAGAGATCACAAGTAGGCAGAGAGCCCAACGTGGGGCTCAATCCCAGGACCCTGAGATCATGACCTGAGCCGAAGGCAGAGGCTTATTAACCCACTGAGTCACACAGGCGCCCCTGAAATGGCCCTTTTAACCAGGTTCTCTTCTGTCACAGAATTCAGCTCTGTGCTACCTCTGCCACTGCCTGGAGTTATAAGTCATCCCTGCCCAGGAGCCAAGAGAAAAAAAGTAGGAATGGCATAGAAATGGCCTCATGAAAGGAACACCATGGAACTCTCTTTACCTCTTGAACATAATGCTCAATGGGATCTTTCAATATTGAGCTATGTCCTTTCAAGATAAGCATTTTCCAAGGCATGTTACTGTTTACCAGTAACCGTCATATCCACTTGCTTATTTGACCTTTTCAACAATGCTATGAAGTAGATAGGTATTATTATTCCCACTTTACAGATGAGAAGACTGAGGCTCTGAAAGGGGACGAGAACTTCTCAAAACCTCTACTTTTTAAAAAACGACCCCAGATTGAAACCTAGATTTTTGAGTAAATTATTCTCACTTCATTGTGATTGAGACACATTCTACCAAATGGCCTCTGATCCAAAAATATCCCAAGTTAGTGACCCTTTCCTCAAAGGCTCTAGAACCAACCACACTGAACCTACTGGGGACATCCTTGGAATAAATTGTGCTTATAGCCCTGGGGCTTTGCCTTCTTTGCCCAGTCAACTGGAGCCCAAGAAGGGACTACTACAATTGCTTGCAAGCCTGAGGCATCACCTAACCACGGTGATGATTTGGCTCCGGTCCATGCTAGCCTCTGGTGAGACCCAGTCCTTCTGGCTGAAGCTAAGGCGTGAGGAGACAGGCTATCATTACAACCATTTAAAAACAACACATATACCAAAACAAAACAAAACTTTATTTACAATTGAAAACTTAAACAAAAAATCTTGGGTCCTGAATCTGTGACACTTCCAAGGTCTCTTGATCAAAAAGGGCCGCAGCAGGCAGGGAAGCAAACACAGGGGCCAATCCGGATTATCTTACTCAAGAGCGTCACCCAGAGCAAGGAAGGCCCACAATGGCAGAGAGGTGAAGGTCTGTTAGGGATGGAAGAGATAAGCAGCTCAGAGGCACTGGAAGGGGACATTCCATGAGAGACAAAACTCTTAGCTCTTCTCTACACTCCTAACCTGCTTTTCCCAAAAGAGCAGAACTGGTCTCACTCTTGCCCTCCATCAGACCTTTGGTTCCCCAGCATAAAGTTGAGAAGTATACTACACAAGAACAAAAAGAAAGAAACTAACATTTATGGCCGCACATATCATCTCATTTATTTACCATTCACAAATTCTCTGTGGTATATATTATCTGTAATCAAGCAAAAGAGGAAACTAGGGTCCCAAGGGGTTTAATGGCTTGATAAGGCTTCCTGGTCTACTTGGCTCCAAAGTCTGTGTGCTTTTTGCCAGACTTAGATGGCTCTCTGTGGAGCTCTAGAACAAAGAGCAATCCTTGCTCCTTACAGGTTTTGGTTCCAGTGCTATAGAGAAAGTAAAGTCCACACCCTCTGTTTATGGCCTTGGTAGTTAGTGTTACTTAATGAACAGAGTGAGTACACTCAGAAACTACTCTGTCTCCCTCCCCCTACACATGGCCACGCCCCTTTCCCTCCAGGAGACAGAGTCCTGGTGTCATACTGCAGGCTCAGGCTTAGAAGTTTAATCCTGGACCCCCAAGCAGAATATAAAGAACTGCATAAATGCACTTTATAAGTTCCATGGTGCCCCAGGACCCAAGCTCTCTCCTAGACCAGGCACTGTGTTAGTCAGCATGGTCCCGGCCTCAAGGTGTTCTGTCTAGAGAAAACCAGGCCAACACATCTGTGATATGCTATGTTAACTGCTGTATACAGAAATGAACCAAGTACTGGGGGAGCACCCAGCAAGGCACCGCTGACTGTCCCAGACCCAGACCTAGGAGGAGATGGAGGGACCAGGGAGCAATTCAGACTGATGTTAGCCACGTGCTCTGGGAGCAGCTGGGTGCAACTAGGATCAGTTAAATATGTAGATACAGTACGTATTTCTATCATGAGATACACGCTCAATATGGAAAATTCAAGCACATACGGGACAAAAACCTCTTGCTATCTCTATACTACACAAGTAACCATTACTAACAATTGGCTGTAATTCACTATAGTAACTTCTGAAATAGTTATTCACATGTACTAAATATTGACTTTGTCACTTAACGTACCCTAAAAATCTGCTGATACATACAGATCTACCTTTTTTTTTTTTTATAAGGCTATGTGGTATTTCACCAACTGACGTACATCAACGTGTGTGAGACCTGATTAAGACGCCAGGTGCTCTGCCTTTGTACTGGATGGGACTGGAATGAAGCCATTCTCCCCTCCCCTCCCTTTTTAGCTGGCAGGGCTTCTCTCTTTCAGGGCAGGGCACAACAGTGTCACACAGCCAGCAGGCATGCAAATATTTGCTGCCAAGTCTCTGGCGCTCCCTACACCTGTATTTTCACGTGGAAACTTGTCTCTCGCCTGGCCTGCTGCAGTGGACACCTCACTGACCTCAGCTTCTCCTCCACATTGCTGACAGAGTCCTCTATGGAATAAGAAAATTCAATCACAGTGTTTTCCTGCTCAAAATCCTCCAGTGGCTCCTGCTGGCCTGGCTTTTTTTGGAGGGCCGGACTAGGCTCCCTTTTGACAATCTCTGGAGTCCGATGAACTCTCACCCCAGGGGAAAAAAAATGTGCCTACTGCCCGAAGCCCACTCTCAGGATAACACATGAGTATCTCAGCCTGCACTGGTTCTCCCAGCTGGCCCTGGCCTCCTCCAGCCTTACCTCTTACCCTTTGCTAATATGGAATTAAGTGCAGTTTCCCTTACACTTCCTGCTGTGTCCTGCTTTTGCTCATGCTGTTCCCTCTGCCTGGAATGCCCTCCCATTTTAGCCACCTGAGAAGTTCTCTTCGTTCACATACTTAGCCATAGCATCCTCTCTTCTGTAGTCCCCTCAGACTGCTCCAGGCACTCCAGCTTTCCTCACTGTTCTGAAGCCTCCAGTCCAGGGATTTACTGTGCTGCCATGGCCAGTCTCCCCAGAGACTGAGTTCCTTAAGGCAGGAACTGGGCTTTTTAAATTTGCAGCTGCCTATGCTGCACAGGACTCATCTTATTCCAACAGAGCATAGTTGTGGAAGGAATGAAGGATTGGTCCCTGTGCCATCAACATGTCCCATCATCTTCCTCTATAGGAATATATCGTGTCTACGGGTAATCCCAGAATGGGAGACAGTGCTTCCTAAAGCTCAGTCATTCCCACAGCACCTTCACCATGGTTTTAGCTACCATCCACAGGCACAATTTTTAACCTAATCACCATATGACCTTTAATAATGCCTCACTATAAAATGGTGTGTCGCACTAATTACGTATTTTTTCTAAGATGCAGTGTTAAAGGATACTCATCACAGTACTGCCTACAGCAGTGTGAACCTTGTTTCTCTGGTAAGAAGCATCTGAGATGCTTGTTACAGACATAGCTAGCTATCCTGGATCCTACCTCAAACTCACTCAAACTCTCCAGGGAAGGGATCTGGGAATTAGTTGCTTTAACAAATGCTCCCAAGTGATTGGCTTCTTTGGGGAAATTTGGGAAACAATGATAGAAGAAAGCAACCTACTGCTTGCTACAGGTACCAGGCTTGGGGATAACTGGAAGAGCAGCAATTCAGACTAGCTGGGCTGCCAGAGCTCAGAGCCACTCCCTTTTCCAAGAGACTCTGAAGTTTTCCAAACAGAAGCTCCACCAGCCCCCAAATGGTTGTAAGTAGCAAAGAACCTGATCCAGATTACAGCAGGAGAATCCTGAGGGCCAAGGTTCACTTCTGGATACCTAACCAAATGCATCATAAAAAGCTTTCACAGGACCCACTGAGATAAAACCATGGTCTCTACATTGAGAGTTGTACAGAAAACTTCCTGTACACTAAAACCAAAGTCAGGGCCTAAGGCAAAACCAGAAAAAGTTCTAGAAGTGCTTCCTGGGGAGGTAGAGCTGATCATGTCACTGAGCTGTCTTCTATCTCCTTCCCGTCTTCTTCTATTTCCAGTGCCTAGACACAAGGCCTCCCGTGCGTGATTAGGTGATATCTTGATTTGAATGTAGCAGATTCCTGCGGGACCAGTGCCACCAAGAGAGGATCACCTTCTGGGTCTTTTCTGATCGGAATATGGTGGCCTTTCGATTAAAAAGCAGGCTCTGTTATTCCACTACAGCCTTGCATTAGCATCTGCTGAGTGCTGGTTAGAAATGCAAGATGTCTGGCCCCATCCGGACCCACTGAGCCAGAATCAGCATTTTAATAAGATCTCCTGGTGATTCATACGTGCATTAAAGTTCGAGAATACTGCCCAATAGGGTCTGAAAACAGCATTTATATTAGCTGTTAGCCATTATCCTGCCCCGAACAACCTGAGGGATCTGAAACACTCCCATAGGAATTAAAGATGCTTGTAGCTTTACAGCTGGCAAGAAAAATTATGGGATGATACTCTGCTCCCCATGGAATTAATCTCCACTTTTCCTTACTTTCTCCCAAATCACATTACTGAGAAACCCAAAGTGGGGACACTTTACGTCAGACTGCCACCTAGATTCCCTAACACCTTAAAACTTATGATAAAGATTTTTTTGGTAAGTTAAATGAGATAATTCAAGTTCTTAACTCAATATTTGAGCACAAGAAGTATGCAATAAACAGCTGCCATTATGATACTGCCTCTAAGTATTAGCTATGAAAGATTTAGTTCCGAGCAAGTCATGGGTAGGAGACTGAATTGGAAGTACCACACTTATATTTAATTAAAATTAAATAAAAAATTCAGTCCTTCAGTCACGTCAGCCACATATTTCAAGTGCTCAACTGGCACATGTGGATGGAGCTGCATGATGGACAACACAGATATCGAACATTTCCACCATCATAGGAAGGAATTTCTATTGGACAGTTCTGGTCTAAGAAGGCTCTGGAACGTCAAATGGCCCTTGTGGAATTTGTTCTGCTTGGGTTGCAGGCTGAGAAGAGAGGCTTCCACGGTGGCAAAGGTTTACTTTGCCCTTTGCTAATAAGAGATGAGGAAGGGACGGTTGTAATCACCACCGTCAGGAATCAAGCCCTCGACAAGGATTTCCATTAACTTTCTAGAAGGGACTCAGAAAAATACAGAAAAGCCCCAATTGAAAAATTTCTTAAACACTGTTCTTTTTTTATCTCTGTCTTCTGGTAGTGATCAGTGGTCAGTCCTTAGAAGGAAAAGGACCTAGTAGCTCAACTCAGGTTCAGCAAGGAGAAGGAGGGAAATGCTAGCCACTACTGAAGGAGAACAGGCTGAGCCCTAGGGATCTCCTAGGCAGGAAAGAAAGCTCAGGGTGTCAACTGTGCCTCAGAAGGGACTATTTGGCTGGAGAAGAGAGAAGACCACGTGCAGCTTCTAGCACACACTTGTGCATGCCCGCCTCTGCATTTGCTCATGCCAGTTCTCTGCCTAAAATGCCTGACATTCTCTCTCTCTATTAACTTATGTAATAAATTTTTGATGAATGCCTATAAGTGCCAGATGCTATGAACACAGAGTAAGTCACAGATAGAGGTATATACAGTTATTAAAATGGTCTGGCATTTGACTAGATCTCCATTCAGAAAAAAAGGCAGAGAGGGGCGTCTGGGTGGCTCAGTCATTAAGTGTCTGCCTTCAGCTCAGGTCATGATCCCAGGGTCCTGGGATTCAGCCCTGCACATGGTTCTCTGCTTGGCGGGAAGCCTGCTTCTCCCTCTCCCACTCCCTCTGCTTGTGTTCCCTCTCTCACTGTATCTCTCTTTGTCCAACAAATTAATAAAATATTTTAGAAAAAAGAAAAGAAAAAAAGAAAAAAGAAAGGCAGAGAAAAGAAAAATAGATTCTATGTAATTTTAAAGTATATAAGTAAAACCATAGAAATATTAAAAAAATACAAAAGACGTTATGATCTGAGATACTAAGGACCTTCCTAAAACAAGATAAAATCACAAAAGCCGTAAGAGAAAAGACTGATAATTTTGACCTCATCAAAATTTAGAGTTTCTGTTTAACAAAGGATATCACCAAAGTTAAGATAAGCAACACAATGTCAGTTTTTGCTTAAAATGTGTTCTGGACAAAACAGTCACAACATTTAACTGTTCAAATCGTCAGAGAAGGATAAAATAAGCTATATGCTACAAACACAGCATACTGTCAGTTTGTTTTCATATGAAGTAGTTTTATGTGATGGAAGAGGAAGTCTTCAAGACATCTGCCAAATGGAAAACAAATGAACAAAATAGTATGATGACATTTAGGAAAAACAAAACCTCCTAAAATAAGATAGGCATAGGAAAGGCCCTGATGGTCATACATCAAACCGAAAGCAGTTACCTCCTGGGACAGAAGTGGGATTGGATGGGGAGGACAGGCAATGACAAGGACTTGGAACTGTTTTCTTGAGATTATATTATGTTATTTTTAAGATTAAAAACAACCAAATAAAATATGTGAACCTTCACTGAATTTTTCTTTTTTTAGAGCTATTAAAGTTACTATGTGGACAGCTGGGGAAGTTGGAACACGTATATTAAATAATATTACTGTGGTCATGTAGGATGCTATTTTTAGGAGTTGTCTGCTGAAGTATTTAGGGATAAAGTGTCAAGAAGTCTTCAACTTTCAAATGGGAAAGAAATAAAATGATGGAAGGAATGAAGGTAAAAAGGAGGGAAAGAAGGGGAGCAGGAGAGAGGAGAGGGAAGAAGGGAGAGAAAAAACCAATGTCAAAGTAAAATGGTAACACAAGAATATTAATCATTGGTAAACCTGGGCAAAAGGGAAATGGGTGTTCAGTATACTTTTCTTTCAAGTTTTCTGCAGGTTTGAAAATTAGAAAGAAGGAAGGAAGGAAGGAAGGGAGGGAGGGAGAGAGAGAAAAACAAGGCAAAAGGCACCACCACCCCACACCTAGCTGAAGTGATCAATTTCTCCCTTGAACTCTGATAACATTTAGCAACGTCAGTTATATTACTAGTGATCACCTCTGAGAATGTGTCTTATTCCCTTTAAGCTCCTGAAAGACAGAGACATTTTTCAACTCTTTGTCACCCAGCACAGAGCAGGCAGTGGCAAGTAGGGGAGGAAGTTAGCCGGTGCAGGCTGGGAAATGGGTTGCGTTCACTTATGAGTCTGGCAGATACAAAGTCAGGCCCTGGAAATGAGCATCACTTCCTTTTTTTTTTTTTTTTTAGATTTTACTTATTTATTTGAGAGAGAGAGCAAGCACAGAGGGAGAGTGAAAGGAAGAAGCAGACTCTCCACTGAGCAGGGAGCCCAACTCGGGGCTCAATCCCAGAACCCTGGGATCATGACCTGAGCCGAAGGCAGAAGCTTAACTGACAGAGCCCCCCAGGCACACCGAGCATCAGTTCCAATGAAAGAGGCACGACGGCTGTGTCTCCCAGCCGCCCAGCCTGCTCCCAGCCTGGAGTCGCCCAGGGGTGGAGCCAGGTCCTGCCAGCAGGGGCACAGGAAAGAACTAGAGTCTGACAGTGCTGTGAGACCGCTCACTGGCTTTCAGGTTGATACTTTGTAGACCACAAAGTGGTAGAATAGTTAAATGCCCTAATAAACCTTTCTCTTCTGATCCTTACAAGGAGCCTAAGAAAGCTATTGTCCCCATTTGACAGATAAGGAAACGGGCTCAGAAAAGGGAAGTGATTTCCCCAAGGTCACACAGACAGGAAATAGGGCTCAATCCCATGTTTTCAAGTCTATAGTTCCTTCCTCTAGACCATGCTGTCTTCACTGGCGACTCCTAACCAGGAGAAGAAAGGCACACGTACCTGATCAGTCTTGCTCTCGACTACATCTCCCCACACTGTGAGATCACCACAGGCAGCTTGGGCTTATTGTTGGGGCCTGTGGGAACATTCTAGGAGAGAAAGCACAGTGGAGATTCATGGGCTCAGACACACACACTCACCAAACACATAGCGATGGCTGCCAGCCCCGTGCTAAGGACTGAGGACTCAGGGACTGAAATGTTAACAGTCCATGTCCTAGCTGAAGGGTAAACATAATCCAGATCAAAGAGAAAATGTCCAACATTTTAAAAAAATCAAACCTATGATATGAAACAATGCAGTAAATTATAAGACAGAGTTGACACAACAGAGCAGAGGAAGCAACCACTGCTTAAACAGGGGACACTTGAGCTGGGCCTTGGAGGATGAATGGGATCCTACCGAAAGGAAAAGTAAAAGAGCATTCCAGTAGAGGAAATAGCACGGGCAAATGCTCAGAGGCAGGAATGTGTATGGTATATTCCCAGGAGAGCTAGTAGCCTGACGAGACTGGAATACGGACGCAGCAGTGGCAGAAGGGGCTATGGAGACATAGCGGGGCCCAGGTCATGAAGGACCTTGGATTCACTGCTGAGTAAGATTTTATCAAGTAGGTGAAGGGGCCACCAGAAGCCAAACCTCAGTGAGCACCAGAGGGGCAAACTTCAGGCCAGAAAAATGTGGTGGGGGGGGGAGCTTAGACTCCTTGTTCTTTCTGAGGGAGCCCAAGTAACTGGAGGCAGTAAAGACAGGGCCTAACACTCTCATGTTACTAGACCAGAATGGGCAAGATAGAGGAAATCAAAACAGGACTCACCTCGATCTTTCGCATCACTAGAAGTCCATCAATGATTTTTCCTGTAGGAAGAGTATGAACTAGACTTTATTATTCTCATTGCATAGCACTTTCCAGCTTCCAATGTCCACTCTTAGCCAGCATCTCCCTGGAATCTCATACTACCATCAGAAAATTGAGATTTGATGGAAGTGAAATGATTTGCCCAAGGTCAGAGATAAGAAGGAGTCGCGGACAGGTTTGGGCAATTGCAAAGCCCTACTGTACCGTGCTCCCTCTGTGTGGCATTCCTTAAGTGACACCATCCGGGTTTCCCTCCCAGACATACAGATCACCCCAGTGGTTACACACTACATCAGACAGTCCCTCCATCCTTCCCTCTAGCATTCTAACCACAAGTTCTCCCCACCTCCCACCACTTCCACTTTCCCAGAGCAGTTACATCAGTCAAGCACTCTTGGGACTAGAGTCTGAGGACTGGCTCCTTTAGAAGTCCCACTCTGTGTGAAGAGGAAGGAAGGGACAGGAAGAGGACTCACCAAACACTACGTGTTTCCCATCCAGCCAATCACATTTGGAGCAGGTGATGAAGAACTGACAGCCATTTGTACTGGGACCGCTGTTTGCCTGACAGAAACCAAGTACACCTTCAGTGAGTCTTCCTGGCCATGCTAGTCAGAGGGCAAGATTCCCAAAAGAGGGGCATCTGGGTGGCTCAGTCAGTTAAGCATCTGCCTTCAGCTCAGGTCATGATCCCAAGGTCCCAGGATCGAGCCCCACATCAGGCTCCCTGCTCAGTGGAGAGCCTGCTCCTCCCTCTCCCTCTATCTGCTGCTCCCCGTGCTTCTGCTCTCTTTCTCTATCTCTGACAAATAAATAAAATTGTAAAAAAAAAAGATTCCCCAAAGAGCCTATAGCCCTGATTCCTTTCTTTCAGCAAACCTTACTAACTACTATAAGCCAGGTCCTAAGCTAGGATCCAAAGATACAGAGAGAAACAGGATACATAATCACTGGCCTCAAGGAGCTAGATCCTTGAATAAATGTACAATTCTCCTGAAGCCTGAATTTTTAAAATGGGAACAATCGTTCGCAGGGACTGATCTGCTGTATTTAATCCGACGCTGGTTATACCTGGATTACAGTTACAAGTTAGGTACGATGGAGAAAAAGCCTGTTGCCTGTGCCATAAGCTCTTTTGACTGAATAGCTTTGTACTGCACCATAACAATGGTAATAAAAGACTGTAAGGAGGTGTGAAAAGTTGCTATGCTAGTGCCACGCTAGGAAAAGATGCTATTTAATCAATGATGCTTGCTTTTTACAGCTACACCCCAAAACCTGTATTACTGAATTTTACAGGAAGAAGTTTTTGGTTTTTTTTCTAAGATTTTATTTATTTATTTGACAGACAGAGATCCCAAGTAGGCAGAGGCAGGCAGAGAGAGAGGAAGGGAAGCAGACTCCCCGCTGAGCAGGGAGCCCGATGCGGGGCACGATCCCAGGACCCTGGGATCATGACCTGAGCCGAAGGCAGAGGCTTTAACCCACTGAGCCACCCAGGCGTGCCCCAAGAAGTTATTTTTTTTAAATTGAGAATCTGAAAGTCTCTAGCCCTATCCCATCTCTTCCCTTGAAATTGTTTCTACATCATTACATTTCACAATGCATTACAAAAGAACAGGCTATGATTATGATGCACAGAAAGGCACGGAGCAGATACCGATGAATGATGAAAAGATCATCAGCATGATAGCTAACCTCTACTGGCCAGTTGCTTGACAAACACCATAGGAGGGTTAATTCCTTTTAATCCTCTCAACATCCCTTTGAGATAGGTATAAATGAGAACACTGAGGCCTAGAAAGGTGATGTGACCAAACCGAGGTCACACGGTCATGAGGTCATCGTCTGGCTTCAGAGCTTACTCTTTTTTTTTTTAAAGATTTTATTTGTTTATTTGACAGACAGAGATCCCAAGTAGGCAGAGAGGCAGGCGGCGGAGGTGGGGAGAGCAGGCTCCCTGCTGAGCAGAGAGCCCGATGCAGGGCTCGATCCCAGGACCCTGAGATCAGGACCTGAGTCGAAGGCAGAGGCTTAACCCGCTCAGCCACCCAGGCGCCCCAGAGCTTACTCTTGAAAGCAGTTAGCTGTACTGCTTTGTAAGGAGAGATCTGACTTTCTTATGAAGTGTACTTTTGTACTTTTTATGCTGAGACCCCAAAACTGGCTTTGATATGCTAAATTCAGGCTTTTGTACATCAGCAAGTCCAAGTCACCTTTCAGTAGCACTGCCTTGCGACAGTGTCTGTCTCTGTGGACGTTTTATCGCATACTTCCCTTGTTTTGGAAAAAAGGAGTCGACCATGGGAAACTGAGAGTACTATTAAAAGCACAGGTCTCATACGATAACCATGACTAAGGCAGCACTGGAAATTATGAGACGGATTGACAGCAGTAATAGGATGCTACATGGATTTAAATCAGTTGGTTCTGTGTTGGGCTGTGCAGGAACAAATGTGTGCATGAAATACATCCATAGCACTGTCCAGGGGAACGCGCTCACTGCCTCACCAGGGATTTTGTGTTATACTTAGAAATGCTCCATGGAAGATGAGGCTACTCGTGGGTTTTGTGCATGTACTTATGAAAAACTCCTACCCGAAAGCAAGGGAATGCCTAAGCCAGTCAGAGGAGGCACATGCTGTGGAATGAGGCACAGACATCCCGGGGCTCCCAATTCTTTGCTTCCTTCTTTTGACCAGTCAATCAAGCAATCACTCAATCTCCCTTGCGGCTGGTGCAGGGACACTGATTAGCAAGCAGGCAGGCAGAACAGCCATATACATTTTTATGGCTCAAGGGGCACTCTCTGCCCTCAGCCCCTCAGTTTGCTCATTCTCTTGAGGCAGTACAGCTCACTACTTTCAAGAGTAAGCTCTGGAGCCAGACGATGGCCTCGTGATCGTGTGACCTCGGTTTGGTCACATCACGTCCCTAGGTCTCAGTATTCTCATTTGTACCTATCTCAAAGGGATGTTGAGAAGCTTAAAAGGAATTAACCCTCCTATGGTGTTTGTCGAGCAATTGGCCAGTAGAGGTTAGCAATCACGCTGACGATCGAAATTTCCGTCATTCATCGGTATCTGCTCCGTGCCTTTCTGTTATCAGGTAGTAGGGCTTGGAGACCCCTGTGGCCCAGTCCCTGCCCTTGAGGAACTTAGGATTTAGGGGAGGATGGAAACAAAAACAACTGTGGCCACACAATCTGTGACTGCACAGCTTCACCAGCGTCAGCCTGAGGGAGCAGAGACCAACGTTTCATTCCATTTTCCTGACTCCTCCATAGATGGCATGCCCCTAGAAGGATCTAGCCCTCCTGGCGAAGATCCAAGCCCACCTGAGCCCACCTGCAGCATTTACTCCTGCGCTTGCCCAGCCTGGCTCTCCAAAAAGGGGGCTTACACACTGTTTGCTGGGCAGGTCTCACTCAATTCTCATGGCAGCCTCCTGACCGGCTTCTTTTACCTCCACCTGTCTATTCCCATCTGCCACTCACACCGCAGCCGGGGGCTTCTCTCTAAATCACAAAGTTGATCAACCCTGCTCAAAAAAGTATCCAGCTCACCATAACCTGTACTTCACCATAACCTCTAATTCTGGCATTTGAAGCCCTTGAGGAACTAGACCCACTCTTCTCTCTAGTGTTTCTGCTGGCCCTTCCCTTCCTTACTCACATCCTATGTCCTCATCCTTCCTCACCTTCTGTTCCTTGACCATGCCACCCTCCTCCGTGAAGTCATGCCTGACCCCTCGGAATGACGCCTCTCATTCCATGGGGCACCCCATGGACTTTTACATACGCTGAGGGGCCCTTACCTCAATAGACGGTGGTGTGACTACCCTATGCTGGGCTTGTCAGTTTGCATGTGTGATTCCTCCACTAGATGTTAAGTGTCACAAGGGCAGGGATCATGTCTATACCCCTGTACCCTACCCTGAGGCCTGAAACAGAGTGGGTGTTGGCAAACCTTCACATGATGAATGCCTGCGTAGATAAGTGGAAGGGTAGGCAAGCAGGGCAGAGTGTGTGCCTGTAAATATAGGGTCTGGGGAGGGAGAATGGGGGCACTGCCAGGGAAATGGGTAATGAGGGGAGGTAGGTAGGGGATTGGAGAGTGAGAGGGAGGCAGGATGGGATGAGTAAAAAAAAGGAGAGCAGGATGAATAAAGGGAAGATGGGGGAGTGAGCATGCAGGAGAGTGAGCATGAGTGGGGCAGATGAGAGGGTTAAGTGGGGCAGGTGGGGGCTGAGAAAGGAGTGAGGTATGGGAGCAGGTCTAGTAGGAAGGAGAGCCGGTCCAAAGGAGCAGGAGCAGTCAGTGAGCCCAGAGGGGGACAAGCCAGGTGGCAGCATGAGTGGGTAGGTGCGGGGGGAATCCTGATGGATGGAGCGCTGAAAGCACAACTGGCCACACTCTGAGCAACAGGGCTGGATGCTGAGCACGTTTCCCCGCTCAAACAGAGGTAAGAAAACACACATCAGAGTTCAACTCTGGCTCCCCAGACTGCTAGGGGCCCAGCTCAACAAAATCAAAGCCAACTGAAGAAGGAGGTGTGTGTGGCAGAGGTGAGTCCTGGGACAAGCAAGAGAAGTAAAGAATTTGCTTCCATCCTAAGAGATAACAATGGGCCTCAAGAGGGGCCCAGAACCTGGGGAATACGAATGTAACCCAAAACCTTGACTGGATCTTACTTACCATGGAAAGCAGGCCTGGAGCTGAGTGTCTGAGTTTAAAATTTTCATCTGCAAATGGCCCCCGGTAAATACTGGCAACTCCGGTACCATCTCCCTGAGCAGAAAAAAAAGGAAGTGTTAACAAGTTTTGAGTGTTGCCCCTCCTCCCCCATCCTGGAACCCAGAGGAGGGATGCTGCCGCACCACAATCAACTTTTTAAGGTGCACTCTTACGCTTGAAGGTCACTTTGCCAATCACACCTCTCGGACCCTATCTTATAATCAAAGCCAGCACCATCCTAGGCAACCTGCAGCCCACGCACTGGCCAGGGCAACGCACAGGTTCAGTAAAATAGGTGACAGCTGGGCCTCTAGAAAGCTCAGTTAAGACACAGGCAGAGTAAGGAATGACAGTAAAATGATCACATACATAATCCTTGCCACTCCCAAAGACTCTCATGCCCGTTGGCATATAGAATTATCCAATTAACTGACCACTATCCCTGCTCCAAGCTATGCAAGTGGATAGGCTCTTGGAAGCCTCGTCTGTGCAGATATCACCCTCTTGACCAAAGCTGACTGGTCCAAGAGAGGATGCCCAACTAATGGAGTTCCTTCTCTGGGAATTGTGAAGGAGGACTGATGTTCTCTTTGAGGTTGAAGTTATCATGTGAGCCTGGAAGCTGCCAGAGACCATCGTCTGGTCTGAGAAGAGAAAGAGAAGGCAACACACTTGTATAGAAAGCACTAGAGAAACAGAAAGAAAGGACTGCCTTGGTTCTATGTGGCCTACTAGTTCCTAGTTCGTTTCTTCCTTTGGATTTCATGAGGCGCCTTATCATAAATCCCCAATTTCTGCTTAAACTAGCTTTATTAGCATTATCTCTTCGCTCTTCCAGTAACCACATGGAATAAGCACTATTATTGTCCTCGTTTTCCAGGTGAGCCAACTGAAGTCAGGGTGATAAAGCAACTTGGCTACAGCCATATTTGTAGTACCTTAAACAGAATACCTGAGAGGGTGTCAAAAGACCAATCTCTTCCAGCCAGTTAGTAAAGAGAAAGAATATTGGGTGCATGGCAGAAAGGGAAAGCACTGATGTAGGCCAGAATCAAGGGGCCCTTACTGGGACAAAGATTACCAAAGACAATTAACATAAGCCAGACAAGGAAAAAAACTGTCAAAATCAAACTTTTATTTGATTACAAATTAATAAAACCAAGCTCTGTGTAGAGGAAAGATCTGGATGTGAGTTCTGGATCAATCCTTTATGAGCTGGAAAACTCACTTTGCACTGCTAAGCCTCCCTTCTCTCAGCTACCAAGTGAAGATGAAATCACCTGCTCTTTACACCACTGCCAGGAAGACCCAATCAGAAAAGACCTTGCAATTGATACGGCACTATAGTAAATGTGAGCTATTACATCTTTTTTTTTTTTTTTTTAAAGAATTTATTTATTTATTTGACAGAGATCACAAGTAGACAGAGAGGCAGGCAGAGAGAGGAGGAAGCAGGCTCCCTGATGAGCAGAGAGCCTGATGCGGGGCTTGATCCCAGAACTCTGGGATCATGACCTGAGCCAAAGGCAGAGGCTTTAACCCACTGAGCCACCCAGGCGCCCAGAGCTATTATATCTTTAACTCCACACAAATACCTACGTACATACTGAAGAAGAAAAAAACAAGTTCACTTCCAATTTCCCAATAAACCTGGGGGACAGATCACTTCTTGCATCCTTTGCTATAATTTCATTATTTATTGCTCTCCAGGAAACAGAGTAGGGAAAATGACAAAATTAATTTTCGGAGCAAACAACAGAAAGTGACTTAAAATTAATTGAATAGGAGCACCTGGGTGGCTCACTTGGTTAAGCATCTGCCCTCAGGTCAGGTCATGATACCAGGGTCCTGGTGTAATGTCCCAGTTTTACAACGTAACACACATGAAACAAACCGTATCTAAAAGCCTGGTTTGACCTAAAATCTGCCACTTTGTAACTTTACCCAGACAGGAAATAGGTCTTGAAAAACTCCTAAGAGTTAAGCTGAATAAATATACACATGAAGGAGAAAGAACATCTCTCAGATTCAAGAAAATAGCAATTTGTTTTAACCAAATGGTATTAATAAAAAAGACCACCATGCACATGCATGCAAGTGGTTGGCTAAGGAAAAAAGTAGGTCTAAGAAGAGATATGGTTTATTCAGCACCCTCCAAGGTCAGAGAAGGAGAAGAGGCTTAGTATGAAAGACACATACAGTCTAGTCACAAGAAATTTATACTTCACAGTGAAGAATTATTCTACTGGGCTCTGTTAGTAAATAGAGGAAATATCCCTCCAGAACCATCTGCCTCTGTTGCTCTGATTCTTTGCCCACTAATTGATTTCTGGTGAAAAATGCAACTTACCTGGGGCGCCTGGGTGGCTCAGTGGGTTAAAGCCTCTGCCTTCGGCTCAGGTCATGGTCTTGGGGTCCTGGGATCAAGCCCCGCATTGGGAATCTCTGCTCAGCAGGGAGCCTGCTTCCCTTTCTCTCTCTCTCTCCCTGCCTCTCTGCCTACTTGTGATCTCTGTCTGTCAAATAAATAAATAAAATCTTAAAAAAAAATGCAACTTTTCAGGCACTGTGATACCAGAGGTAGAAGGGAATTAGAGCATAAGCACTGAGCTCCATGAAAAAGGACTACTGCCATTTAGGAAAAAAAAAAAAAAATTCATCTGATGTCTACCCAAGTGTCATGTGACTAACTAGTTTGTATCTCTCAAGGATCATCTATAGGTATGCTGGGAAAGTTCAGTTTCTGGCTCTAAAAGGCTGAAATTTGGAAGTCGTGACTCGAAGTGCTAATGTCTTCATCTAGTGGTATAAAGAGTAGTAGCAAGTAACTCTAAAGGACATTCCTATCACCCACCCCCCACTCCTTCAGAAAACTTCGCTACTGTTGCGAGCCTTAGGACTGAGTCCTGTAGTAGAAGTAGTAGTAACAGCAATAACAAAAAACAATATTCCTAAAGGGCTTTGATAGTAAAGAAATAGTACTTACATTAACAAAATCCCCACCCTGAATCATGAAATCCTTTATGACCCTGAAACAAAGAATAAAGGATCCTGAGAGAAGGTTCTGTCATTTAGAAAAACATTGCTTTAGTCATTATACTTTAGATTAACATTGATTTAAAAATAAAATGTTTATCACCCTGGCTTTTAATAAGCCTTCAAATTGATTGTTGAGTTCAGAAAAACATTCCTTCTCAAGATCTAGGAATCGTCCTATGGTTTTACTTCCCACTAAAGAGATGAATCCCCAAAGGAAGTAATTCTAAAAGCCTGCAGGATGGCTTGCCAAGGCCTTACCTGTGGAAGGTGCTCCCTTTGTAGCCTATCGGAACCCCATCTTTTCTATAACCAAAAAGAAAGACACTTGGAATGATGATAGGTAATCAGAGGCCTGTCCAGTTTACCACCCACTAGAGCCAAGGAACTCTCCTAAAGATGGTCGGGAGAAGAGAAATAAAGAAGGCAAATGAACTGAAGATATTGGGGTATTACCTTCTATTACTGTCACCAGCAATCATTCAAGGCCTGCTGATGGTTCCCCAAAACCCCACCGCAGCCCCAGGACACCCTTGAGGAGCATGCAGAGAAATCGACCATGTCTGACACTGACCTGAATTCTCCAGTGCAGAACTGCCTTAAAGGGAAAAGAGTGAACGAATCAGTTACCATGGCATCACAGCTGAGGGCATTCCTACTCGGGTGGGGATGGGGGGAGCACAGACATTAGCGCCAGAAAGCCCACCAACGGGCCAGCCGACGTCCAGACACCTAAGCATACAAATTAACAACAAAATTGATATGGGAAGAGTAAAAACGGTGACTATTCAGAGCGCTACAGAGAAGACTCCGATCTCAAGGGCAATGAGTGGACAGACAGAGGCAGGCAGAGGATAACGTCTACCGGTTCCAGCTTCTGGTTCGGTTAACCTAGCAGAGCTGGAACATCTCCTTACCTAAAATTCTCGGCCGTCTTAGGCACAACGTCCGCAAAGAGCTCGATCTTCATGCGGCCAACTTCCTGCAAGCGGCGGGAGATGGTCAGAATACCCGGTCCAAGACCATGAAGGCCTCGGCGAGCAGGAACTGGAGCGGTTGACCCCTCTTCGCCCCCACGCCACTCGGTCTCTACCACCTCCACCTCCACAGCCTCTCCTTCCCCGCCGTCCAGTCCCTCCCGCTGCGCGGCGCTAGGATGGGCAAGACTTCTCCCCCTCCCGTGCCCGTGCCCCTGCCCCGCAGGTCGGTAGGTTCTGGACCAGTTTCGTTTTCTGGATTCTCCAGTCCGCTATCCCTGGGTGGGTGAGATCTTCCCGGCTGGTCCCGTGCAGTGTCCCTTCGGCGCCGTGGCTGCATGGACCTCACCTGGCCGCCAATGCTGACATCAAAGAACACCACGGGATTGACAGGGCTTGAATTTGCCACCGCCATGGCTGCGACCCGGAAGCAGAAGACCGAGGCGTGGGTTCCGGCGAACCTAATCCGCTGCTTCGCGGGTTTGTGCGCCGGCGCAGGCGCAAGACGCAACCAAGGCCAGGCCCCGCCTCCCGGAAGTCCCGCCCCGCCCCGGCTGCCAAGAGCTCTGTACCTCCCGTGCGGAAACCGGGCGTTGTGGCAGTACGTGGGACCAGGACCTCTGAGCCATCCTACGTGCGACCGTTCTGATCCCTGCCCATTAGTCTGTGAGCCCCACGAAGGCACTTGGAATAGCCTGGTATATGTAGCCCTTTGGTTAAGTCAGTACACCAGAATTTTAGTTCTAGTTCTGCCACAAGCTTCCACTCTTGCCACCTACAATTCATTCCTGTAGAGCGGCTAGAGCTTTTTAAATAAATCTGCTTATAAATCATCCGTGGCTTCCCATATTTAGAAAAAAATCCAATTCCTTACATACAAAGGCCTGCATTACATTATCTGGCCACACATATCTGGCCTCATCCTGTATCACCCTCCATTATGATTCTCTGGTTTTTCTATCCCTTGAGGTCATGGAGATTGATACTCTCTTTAGAGTCTCGGTACCAACTGTTAACAGTCTTTAATACTCTTCTAGATCTTAATGAAGGTAGGGAGTGCTCCTTGTAGCTCAGGGCTCAGCTCAGCGGTCACTCAACCTAAAGCAGCCCACAGTCACTCCTCTAGATGCATCACTGGTTTATTTTCCTCATGCCACTCACCATCCAAAATTATATGGTCTGTCACCCCGCCTATGTGTCCCTGTTGCACACACATATCTACCTTCCAACCTAATAGCATATTAACTCCAGAAAAGCAGAAACCGTCTTCACAGGTGTAGCTCTAATGCCTACTATTGAATAGCCCATAGTAGGGATTCAATAAATAGATTCAATGAATTGAGTGAAAGAAGGTGACCTTGGGCAAGATTTGGAGTCAGAGCATGTATCTGTTATCATAGCTATTATGTCCTATATCCATTGATCATCCCTTCTGGGTCAGTCATCTGAGGAAGTAAGGGTTACATATAAAAATTCAGTATCTCAACTCACAGTGTCTTTTTAATTTTTGGTTACTTTTCCTTTTCTCTTGGTCTCCTCTATCTCCAGTTGAAGAGGAAGAAGAAAGAGGAGGAGAATAAGGATGGAAAGAAAGAACAGCAGGAATCACCCTTTAGTATAGCTTATAGCAACTATTTTAAAATAAATTTTTTGAATTGATTAAATATTCGATGTTGATGAGGTTGTGGAAAAACCAGTACAAAGTGCCAGTGAAAATAAATGATACCTAGCATTTCTTAAGTAACTACTAAGTTCTAAATATACATTTCATTTCATTCATATAGTCCTCACAACTATATGGGACAGGAACGACTACTGTGCCCATTTTATGGATCAAGAAGTTTAAAGAGGCTGACTATAGGAGCACCTGGGTGGCTCAGTCGGTTAAGCATCCCACTCAGTCTCAGCTCAGGTCTTGATTACAGGTCGTGAAAGCCCCACACTGGGCTCCATGCTGGGCGTGGAGCCTACTTATAAAGAAAAAGAAAAGAAAAGAAAAAAATAAAGAGGTTGACTATAGAAACATCATGTTGACGACTTTTTTTTAAAGCAACACAAGTGAAATACCAAACTATATAACATTTGTATCCTCTGACCCAATTATGCCAATTGTTTCTGGAATAACTCAAGAGAAAAAGAAGAGCTACATTCACAAAGACTTTCACCACAGCTTAATCTCAAATAGTGAAAAAGTAGAAACAACTTGAATGCAAACAATGAAAGAATTTATAAACATCATGTGGCTACTGAAGGAATAATTACGAAGACTATTAAAATATTGAAAAATGTTTTATGGTATGTTAACTAAAAATCAGACTGTGAAAATGAACATACAACATAACAATCACTTAAAAATATATGCATTTGATAAAATTTGTTTCTAAATTTAAAAAAATATGCATTTGAATAAGAACCAAAAAGGAATAAAATGAAAATAGTTGTCTTGAGAATGCAGGGTTATAGGAGATTTCTCTTTCTTTTTAAAGTATTTGCTTTAATATGATTACATTGTTTTTGCTTTTAAAAAATAAATAATATCCATGATAATAGGGGGAAAGTGCTGAGTTAGCTATATAGGTGCTCTACTGAACAGACCCCTAATTAAACCATTGAGCTTAAGTCACTATTTCAGATCAATATAAGGATATTTGAGGATATCAAACAAACTTGAGAAATCCATTTTTACAACTAGTTTAATAAATTTATCAGCAATTCTGAGGACGAGGACTCTTCGTTGATGTCCAGTGGGGATCCTTGGTAACTCTTTTACGTGTCATGTTCGACCTCATGCCCAAGCTTTGAGTTAGCAGCTTTATCAATCTAGTTTTGGCCACCAGTGATTTTATGGCTCTGATTTTTGGTCTTGTTCTTGGATGTGATGTGTCTCTTTCATAAAAGCCACGTTCATGTATCCAGCTTCAGAATTCTGTGAACACGAAAGAGACTCACGGAAATTGGGATTTATTGTTGCTGCTTCTGATTTATGTTTAGTAATCTCTTGAAGACTTCCGCCCGACTCTACCAAACCTGTTCCTGAAAAACTAAGAATGGCCATATGTGAGGATTTTGTGAAAACAGGATCCCTTGGTAGCACTTTGGGGTTACAGGGACAAGGCAGCCATAGGATTTCAGTTTTTTACACAAAGGAAACCAAATAACATTTACCTTAAACTTACGTGTATGGATTCGAGATCCTGTCAGGTGTGGGGGTGAGGAGGTGGAAAAAGAGAAGGGACTGGAAAAAAATTCAAATACTAAATATAGAAACATTACTCCCAAATGCTATGCTCTGTTAAGCCAGCAACTCAGGATGAGTTAGGCGGTCATGACTCTCAGTCTTGCAGATGACTGTCCTGACTTTACTAACAAGGAGTCTTGTAAGGGCAAGATTTTATTCAATAATTCAAATTCAGGGATGTCACAAATTGTTTTCTGAAAGAAAAAGGATGAATATTTAAAATTATAATTATAAGCCATTGGCAATATGATCCTAAGACATGTACTTTATAGATATTTTTGGTTAAAAATTTAATCCCCTCCCCTCCTACTTGCTAGAATGGCTATCATAAAAAAAAAAAAAACAAAACAAGAGATAACAAATGCTGGCAAGGATGTGGAGAAAAGGAAACCCTTGTTGAACTGTTGATGGGCACATACTTTGGTTTAGCCACTTTGGAAAACAGTATGGAGTTTCCTCAAAAAATTAAAAACAGAAATACCATATGGTCCAACAATTCCACTTCTGGGTATCTGGAAAAAATGAAATCACTGCCTGAAGATATCTGTGCCCCACCCCATATTCATAGCATCATGATCTTACATATATGTACAATCTAAAAAAAAAAACCAAACTCATAGAAGCAGAGATCAGATTTGTGGTTGCTAGAGGTGGGGGGGTTGTGGATGGAGGAATTAGGTGAAGGTGGTCAAAAGGTACAAACTTCCAGTTATAAGATAAATTCTGGGGATGTAATGTATACCATGAAGACTACAGTTAACAACAATGTACTGTATATTTGAAAGTTGCTAAGACACTAGATCTTAAAAAGTTCTCATTGCCAGGAAAAAAAATAGTTTTACTTTTTTATACTTTTTAACTTATACAATGAATGTTATATGTCAATTACATCTCAATAAAACTGAAAAAATGTAATCCCTAAATACCTATAGAATATCTAGTAATTATAAAAATATAAATCTTATACTTTTATATTAGCACTTTCATTGTAAGCCTTCTTATTATATCTATTGTCCTATGTGTATTACCTCTTATTAGCTGATATAATCATTCTGTTCTATTAGGTGAGTTTTTACTTAATACTCTGGTAAACATTTTCTGTCCCTTTAAATCATGAAAAAAAGTATCTTTTTTTTTTTTGAAAGATCTGTGACTTTAAAAACCAAATACCTTTCTTATAGAAACTGATCAACACAGATCAAATTTAACATACAATTATGGGGTTTACCGATTCCCCTAAACTTGGACCTCTAAACTTTGATACACACGAACTCAATTTCTGTGAGAAATTCTTAGTTACCCTGAAATAAATGAGGAGCTTCTATAAGGAGGAAAAAACTACCATTCAGAGAATTTGAATTCTGGCTCTACTAGTTAGACTAGTTAGACTCTGATATGTCCCATCACCTCTCTGAGTTTTGTTTCCTACATTTAAAGTGTGAGAATAACAATTAATCACTAATTTTTCAGGGTTATTGCAAAAATTAATTAACATAAACATACCTAACATATGGGAGGAACTCAATAAGTGTTCAATATGGAAACAAGTGTATTCACTGAATGAAAGAAGCTGTATTTATTGAATGCCATTAATTTGCCAAGCAATACACCAGGTACTTTATATGCATTATTTTAATTATTCTACTTTAACCCCAGTAGCCATCTCTGAAATTCAATCATTCCTTCATTCACTCACTCTTGTAATAGCTTTATGGAGATATAATTCACACACTATACAATTCAGTCATTTAAAGTACATAATTTGGGGTGCCTGGGTGACTCAGTTGGTTAAGCATCTGACTCTTGGTTTCGGCTCAGGTCGTGATCTCAGGTCATGGGATCAAGTCCTGTGTCAGGCTCCTCACTCAGCTTGGAGTCTGCTTCTCTCTCCCTCTGCTCCTCCTCCCAGTTGCACTTTTTCTCTCTCTCTCTCAAATAAATAAATAAAAATAAAGTACACAATTCAGTGGTTTTTAGTATATTCACAGGGTTGTACAACCATATTATAATAAATTTTAGAATATCTTCATCACCCCTGGTATAAACCTAATACCCTTTAACTACACCTCCCATCTTTCAATGCCTCAGCCCTAGGCAAGTACTCATCTACTTCTATGTCTATATATTTGTCTACTCTGAACATTTCATATAAATGGAATCATATAATATATGGTGACTGGATTTTTCTCATTTCACATAATATCCTTAAAGTTCATCTGTGTTATAACATGGATCAATACTTCATTCCTTTTTTGTGGCTAAATGATATTCCATTGTATGAATGGATATATCACATTTTATCTACCCATTCATCAGTTGATAGACTTTTAGGCTGTTTACACCTCTTAGCTATTATCAATAATGTTGCTATAAATATTCATATGTAGATTTTGGTGAGGAACGGCCACCTTTGAATATTATAACTTCATTTTCCCAGATGGAGGAACTATAAGGTAAATGAGGTTTCCTCCTTCCACACAACTAGTAAAATGCTGAGCCAGTATTTGGGACATAAGGAGCAGTGAGAAGTCCTATCAAGGACACAAAGCTATATTTGGAGATGGGAGGAATCAGAAAAAGCTTTATGGAAGAGAAGGTATTTAGGTTAAATTACGAGGGACAGTAGGAAACAGCCAAGAGAAAATCTGGGGCAAGGAAGTCATGAGAGAAGGCAGTGGAAGGAGAGGGATTTCCAAGAGCCTAAAGATGACTGCAGTAAGTCCTTGTATGGCTTTGGGTCATATGCTCAGATTATATTTTGTAAAGACCCTTCTGGCTATAGGCTAGCAGAACAATAGGATTTCAAAAGACAAAAGCCAGGAAGATGAAAGAAGGAAGGAAGATGGGATGTGTCTTTCCAAGTAAGGGGAATACATGATCTAGTGGGAGGAAACCAGAGTTTTGGGGGAAACAGTAAACAGATTGGTTTCCTTTGATCAAGCTTGTTTGATGTCAGAAAGTTATTTGGACTATGGGAAGTTCCTATGTGGCTTCAGTTCTTCTAACTCTGGAAGTATAGCTCTGAAAGCCTTCCCTAACCACCCCAGACAGGTTTAGATGCCACTCTTCCTGCTTTCACAGCATTCTGGGCCTACCATTATGGTAGAACTCACACAGTGTATGGCAGTTGCTGGTTATATGATGGTCACTTTCATCAAGGCTGAGTTCTCTGAGGGCAGACACTCTATCTTGTATATCACCATATCCAAACCACAAGGGAGGGGCAGCATGAGGCCTGGCACACTGTATACGCCTAATAAATATTTGCTGAATGAATAAACTTTATCGAATAGACAAAACAAGTCTCTGAAACTCTATGGGACGAAGTACTATGAAGGCAGGCAGTGCTTCGTGAAGATTAGTCTGGAGGCATGGCCAGGACAGATTAGGAGGAAAGATTGAAAGGAGATGAGTTAAGTTGTTGCTCTAACCCAGGTACTAAGTCCTTGGGATGCAGAGGGTAACATGATGGACATAGTTCCTGCTCTTATAGATTTTATAATCCAATAGAGAGGAAAGATGGGATTACAACACAGGACGCAACATGGTCTCTTACAAGGCCATGTCCCTGGTTACCCCCATATCCTGAAAGGGAAACAGTAGAGTTGGGGTATTACGAGATAGTGGCTAAGAATAAGGTACCACAGAGAGTTGGCTTCAGTCCCTGTTCTTCTACTTATTGGTGATGTGCCTTGGCCAATGATGTCATTTTACCTCTCTAGAGCTCAGTTTCCTCAGCTGTGAAAATGGGCAGAATAGTTTGTAGATTAAATGAGATAATGTACATAAAATGCTTAGCACAGTACCAGGCACATAGCAAGCACTCAACAAATGTCAAGTTCTTACCATTTTAGCCTCTGAGGTGTTGCAAGGAAGGAGAAGATCTAGGATATGTCTGATCTCAGGGATCTATATAGTGATCTGTTTGTAGTATGATACTCAATCACCGAGAATCAGGAGATGTGGGAAATGTTAGCAGTGTGACTCAGGCATACCATTTAGCCTCTCTTGAGTTTTATCTCCCTCCTGTATAAAATGAGGAGATTGAATTGGAAGATCCTTAAGATTCTAAGTTTAAAAATAATTTTGGAGTTAACATGTATGAAGATGTTACCAGTTGGTACTTTTTTCACATATAAAATGTGGAGCTTGACGTACTATAGTCCTTACCCCATCACATTTTTATCTTCTTTGAGGGTAATGTTGTGGATCTCAAAGCTATCAGGTCTAGTATATACACCATTAAGACTCATCAACTATTGGGGTGCCTGCGTGGCTCAGTGGGTTAAGGCCTCTGCCTTTGGCTTGGGTTGTGATTCCAGGGTCCTGGAATCGAGTCCCACATCGACTCTCTGCTCAGCAGAGAGCCTGCTTCGTCCTCTCTCTCTGCCAGCCTCTTGGCCTACTTGTGATCTCTGTCAAATAAATAAATAAATAAAATCTTTAAAAAAATAAAATAAAAGACTCAGCAACTATAATACTGTAGTGTTTATTCATGTATGTCTCTGTCTTTCTCTACTAAAGACTTCCAGAAACACAGTCTATCTTCATATCCCTAGGACTTAGCATAGTTGAGAACAGCTGTAGCTCAAGCAAAAAAAAAAAAAAATAAACTACTGGAAATTAAGCTGCATAATCTGGCAGTTCGAATTTGGATAAAATCTATGAAATAACTCATATAGTTTGGAAATAATCACCTTTCTTTTTTTTTAAGATTTTATTTATTGACCTGAGAGAAGTGTGTGCACCGGTTGGGGGAGGGGAAGAGGGAGAGGGCAAGAAAGAATCCCAAGATTCTGTGCTGAGTGCAGAGCCCAACACAGGGCTTGATCCCAGGACCCCAAGACTATGACCTGAGCGGAATCAAGAGTTGGACACCCAACCGATTGAGCTACCCAGCCACCCCAGAAATAATCACCTTTCTGAGAGCAAGCCAGATGTAGGTCTTATGTTCACAGCAATAGTACCCAACAGGCAGGATCTACATAAGTATCCTGGAAGTAAACATTGAGCAGGTGATACAAACTAGGGGAGAAAGCAAACAGCCTCTATCTTAGATTCAGAATGCAACTCTGCTCATTGAAGTCCTTCTCCCTGACACATTTACCAGCCAGACTCTGGACCTTCTCTGAGCCTATACTATTGGCTGCATCTATCTGGACTTGACTAATTGTCTGCTTGGATCTTTGTAACATCATTGCTTTTCTCTGACTCTGACCTTAGGCTTGACTACTTGCCAGACCAGACTATCTTCATTTACCTCTCAGGGCCTCAGATTTGCTCATTTCTGAGACAGAGCTAGAATCATCCATGGCAAACAGGGTTGAGAATGAGGCATACATGTGAAAATATTTAGTAGTCATTCATTCTCAAATATTTATAGAGCACCTGTCTATAGCTAAAATGACATATGAGATACAATCCTTGCCCTCCAGGATCTCACTGCTGATTTGATGAGATAGAGAAGCAAAAAGACAATGGTGATACACTGTTGAAGAAGATATGAGACACGCACAATCTCTTTGGGATCACATAGGAGGAGAGTGTTTACTAAAAGCTGACCCAGGGGTGCCTGGGTGGCTCAGTTGGTTGGTCATCCTCCTCTCCATCTTGGCTCAGCTCTAGTCATAACAGCAGTACTACTTGACTACTTGGCGCAGCAGTAGTCCTAACAGTAGTAATAGCAGCAGCTGTAGTAATGGTAATAATAGCAGTATTAGCAGCAGCTGTAGTAATAGTAATATTAGGAGCAGTAGAAATAGCAGCAGTCACAGCAGTAGTAGTAATAGTAGTAGGAGTAGTAGCAGTAACAGTAGCAGTAGCAATAGTAGTAATAACCATAGTAATAGTCATAGCAGCAGCGGTAGTAGCAGCAACAGCAGTAGTAATAGTCATAGCAGTGGCAGTAGTAGCAGCAGCAATAGTAGCAGCAACAGCAGTAGTAATAGTAGTAGCAGTAGTAGCAGCAACAGCAGTAGTAATAGTAGTAGCAGCGGCGGTAGTAGCAGCAACAGTGGTAGAAATAGCAACAGCGGCGGCAGCAGCAGCAGCAGCAGCAACCATTTACCAAGTACCTACCATGTACTTCGGCACCATGCCTTATCCACAGAGTAAACACTTAAACCTGCTCATGCATTGTGTCATCTGATCTTGCAACAACTCCATGAAATGGATATTGTTATAGAGCCCATTTTACAGATGAGGAAACTGAAGCCCAGAGAAAAGCAACTTGTTTTAAGGACCAAAGCCCAGAAAGTCATAGAGCTGAGATGCCAATCTGGCTCTTTTAGATGTCTAAGCCTGAGTTCCTACCCACTCTATCAGACTCGCTCTCCTGGGCCATGGTTTATCTGGGACATAAGGTGGTACAATAGTGTTAATCAGAGATTTGTGTTTGAGTTTGGGTTCTGTCACGTACTAGCTGTGTGACCTTTGGCAAGTTACCAAATCTGAGCCTTGGTTTACTCATCTGTGAAAGAAAGAAGCATCCTGTAGAAGAAACTTATTCCAAGGAAAACATACAAGTCCAACCCAGATGGCCAGGATGTGTCATTAGGAGGGCAAGATAGGAACATCATTAATGTTAAGGCACGGGTAATAAGTCAGTTGTGTTGGGAATGTCAGAATCAATGACATAGTTTGAGAAGGGCAATGGCTTATACAGAGTATACAAAAAGGGAGACACAGAGAGTAAGAAATCATCAGAGACTCTCCAGGCCTGCCCTGAGAAGTGTGTGCCCACAACAGCAGAAAGGAGAGTTCTAGTGGGCAGATCTCCCCACAGACTGTGGTACTGTGGGCTCTAGGGCCAAGCTACTGAGGTTCATACACTACTCTGGCCCTGACCAGGCTGTCTGAGTTCCCAAGTGTCCCTGGACCTTGGCTTTCTCACCCATAAAATAAGGCTAGTCCCAGAGCCTCCCTTGTGGGATTGGTGTGAGGACTGGTGAGAGAGAGGGAGCTTAGAACAATGCCTTGCACATCGTAAGTGCTCAAAAAATATTAATCATTATAGTTATTATTGGTGACTCTATGTGTTAAGATCAAACCATTCTCTTTGCCCTAATTCTGTGCTCCAAGAAAGTTTTTCATTGTAACTGGAGTTTCCTAATAGAGGAGAGAGCGCTTGGGCTGGCTGATGTGTGAATTCTTCTCTGCTGGGACTATTTCTCGTTATAAATGAATACAATTGGTATCCTAAGGGTTTCATGAATTTAAGTCACTAGTATGACTGTTGCTCTCTTGATCTACCTTGATTCCACAGGTATCAGATGACAAAAATGAGTGTCAACACATGAAGCAACAGGCCAGGACAAGCACAGCTAGGTCCTCAGTCAGGCAATGCCCACGTGCAAGAGCCCATCTGAGTAGCTGACCCATCTCCTCCATGATCTTTTTCTCTTTAATTTCATAACATTTCCATGAACTGCTGAAAACAGCAGGCAGCAGAGCAACAATTACGAGACAGGCTGCAAACCCAAAGGATAGTCTCTGGAACAATCTCTTCATTGAGGGAGAAACATCTTTGCAGAGTTCATTGGCTCCTCAGGCAGGACCACACCTACCTGATCTGGACTGAAGATATTATCAATTTATTGTTGCGGATTAATTCTTGCTCTGTGACTTGTTCCAGAAGTTTCCTTTTCTCTAGGAGCAGTATATTATTTTGAGCAGTGACCTCATCCTGGAATGCCTTTTTCTAGAGAAAACAAAGCCGTTCATTACCACAGCAGGAGGAAGAATTATGAAGTTGACACCAAATTTCCCTTCTTTCCTTTTCCTCTCCTGTCCCCTCGTCTGTTTTTACCTGTTTGCTGACATTGTCAGCTGGATAGTTCTTCTGTTTATTTTGTTTATATTAGGTCCTGTATTCTCTTTGAACAATTAATCATTCTCCTGGGTTAACATTTTAAAATATCTGAGCACTCAACTTCCAAGAAGGTCCCAAGGCTTTCCTGTGTATTCTAACACCATAGGTATCAAATCACTACCAAATGCAACTGGATCCCCCAAAGCTTCAGTTTGACATTTTCCCATATAATACATTTCCGTCTGCATTGTGGCAATAGTCTTTTTAAGGCAAAGGGAGGAGATGCAAATTTAGCCCCCACACTTGGCAACCAGCATCAGGATCTCAGTTGCCTTGGCACATGGAGCAGGTAAGGTGGCTATGGAGAATATCCTTACAGTGCTCACGCTGAAAAGACTTCTAACGTGACACCATGTCTCATTTTCTACCAACAATTTCCCCGGAAAGCAATAGCTAGCAAAGTTATAGCTAAAATGACAAAGGAGTGTGTGTTGTGAAAAAATACTAATGTTCTTGTATTGAAAGAGTCAGTAGCTATTAATAAATATCACAGTGGGTGAGGAGTTTAGAAGCTCGAAAGTGTAGAATTGCCCTTCTCACTTCACTGATGCCCTGTCAATGGTAAGTGCCTTCACCCTTCTGTGTTGACACCCCACCTGCCAAAGGTGGGAGTGAGTGGGGATGGGAGAAGGATAATGAGCTGCTGGCAGCTGGTGAATCATTGAGTTAAGAGCGGCAAATTCATTTCTTTCTTTTAAATAAGGCACTAATATAGATCATCCGGAAAAGATGCCATCTATTATTCAAGAATGGTAAGAGAGGATATTACATTATGTTCTGAAACAAACCACTCCAGATTTTTAAGTTCCACAGCCAGGACCCTTCCATGTCTAACAGCAGTCTTGTCTGCTCTTATTTAAATACATTTTTGGTAAGGATTGAGAATAGAAGCAGTCATCCTACCAACACTACTCTGTGGTTACAACTGGATTAGAAAGGAAACCGGATGGGGCAGACTACTGACATTCTACCCTTGGAAGTGCCCTATTTTTTTTTTTTTTTTTGAATGAGAAAATCAGGATGCCTGCTTTAATAAAAGGATAAAATATTTGGAGAAATCTGGTTTGGATGTTTACAACAGTCAGGAGACTCAATGGCTCACTGTATAAAGAGAAGGCTGAAAGAATGAAATCCCAAAAAAGTGGCATCACTTTCTGGAGACTTGGTGCTTGGAAGGTGAGCCCAGATTTTTTAAGCTTGTGGCTCTGGTCCATGGGCCCTAAAATAAATAAAATCAGGACCTTCAGGTTTGTAGCACTGTGGCATTAAAAGATCTCATACCAGTCTTCTCTAGGTTAAGTATTTCCTATTCTATTAACAATTTCTCTTGTGAAATCTACATCTACCAATCAGCATATTTCTAAGAGAGCTTACACCAAAAGAGAAGAAAAGAACACCTCTGGAAAGTTGTCTGTGTTAGGTGCCACTTTGGGCATTTCCTATTTTAACTGCACAAAAGCCTCATGAGGTGGGGATTAGTTCCACCATTTCATGGACAAGGAAAATGATACCCAGAGATTTGTGCCAGGCCACAGAACTATGAAGTGGCAGGTCTAGATTTTGTATCTGCCTATGGTCAAAGCCCCCAGCAGCCTTCAATGGCAGTGAGCAAAGGGACCAACTGCTCTTCCTTAGCCTATGCTTATTTGCCATCTCTCCTGGAGATCTGTGGTTCTCCGGGTAGATGTATCAGTTTCCCAATACTGTTGGAACAAATTACCACACACTGGATGGCTTAAAACAACAGGAATTGGTTTTCTCACATTTGTGGAGGCTACAAGTCTGAAATTGGAGTCTTGGCTAGGTGAGTTCCTTCTGGGGGCTCCATGCCTCTCTCTCAGCTTCTGGAGTTTACAAGCAATCCCTGGTGCTCCCTGGCATAGCTGTATCCCTCTGAGAGCTGCCTGCACTGTCATGTGGCCTTCTTCCCCTGCATGTGTCTACGCGTGACTGTTCTTCTTATAAGGACACCAGTCTTATTGGATTTAGGGCCAACCCTAATCCACCATGACCTCACCTTAACTAATTACACCTGCGAAGACCTTATTTCCAAATTAGATCACATTCTGAGGTTCTAGATAGACACGAATTTGTGGTGGACACAATTCAACCCAGTACAGTCAGGAAGAAAGAAGTAGGGGGCTGTTTCTGTCATGTAAGTCTAAGAGTGGAAGGCAGGCAGTACAAGAGAGTGGTGATGCAGAAGTAGACTGCTATTTCCAGTGGGCCCATGAACCAGGATGGCTCCTTACTTCTGTAGTACTTTTCATGTGCTTTTCCTAGTTGTGAGTCTAACCTAGATCTGAGTCTTTAAAAGTTTGACAATTTAGTGCCCAAAGAGAAGGATATTGCAAAATCCAACTATTTTCCTCTCTCACTACAGTGTGGAGTATCAGGAGGAATTTTTTTTTAAACATTGGTGACCCATCTGTTATAATCCAAAAATGTTTTATTGTGTGTAGTCTAGAATTCTTAACCATCCCATAATAGCCCATGGAATGACTGAAATTACATGAATTCTTTGGGGATCCTTGGCACATACACAAAAATGAGTATTTTAGAAGTGAGCACAGAGTTTTCAAAATTCTGATGGGCTAGGCATCTCGAGAAGGGAAAGCATTACTGGCCTAGTCAGTTGAATTCATGTAGTTTAATGATCTCAAGACCGTTCTGCAGTTGATTCCATGCCATTGGTCTCACTTTCCTCCTGCCTACCAGTAAGTCACAGGGGCAATGGGACAAAGATGGAGACATAGATATTTAGAAAAAAAGCCTGCAGGTACTATACAGGGACTGATAAATAGGGGTCACCAATTTTTCCTGCCATTTAAAACTGATGGAAGTTTGAGGCAAAATGAGGGCAATGTGAAGTAGGAATGCGCTATGGAGGGCCGTCTGGAAGTCTCTGCTGACGGATATTTAAGAGCAGACATTGTCATTTGAAGACAAGACACTGACCGGAGTTGGAAGTGCAGGATATTTTCAGTGTCTGATTCAGTTTACCAGCACCATGAGTCTTACATACTTTTTAGCAGAATTACTCACATCAAAAGAAGGTACAAAGGAAGGAAATGGGAACCTAGGGTATGAAGAGGCCACAAGAGAGTCAAAGCATGAGTGGGTTTTCTTGAACGAGCTGAGCCACAGCACACTGGGGAGCTCTTCACCTTTCTGCTCACCTTTTCCATTTGCTGCCGCAGACCTCTGATTTCATTTTCCAGTTGTTCAATTCTCTTATCTCGTAGTTCTACTTTGTGACTTAAACGGTCCTTGACTCTGCAAAGCTTGGCTTTGTGATGGTGACGTTTCTCATTACAGATTCTATAAAAGTAAATTTAAATAGAGGTTCAGCTGAGCACCGTGGACATTTATGTTGCTTTCTCACTGTGCACCTTTCTTGGGTTTTCTCCTCTTGCTTTCACCAGAGGTAGGTACTTTCCTGCCTTCCATCTGCAGGACTTCTGGCCCCCACGTGGGGGAATGGACTAAGGGTAACCCCCTGAACAGCACCAGCTTTAGTCACCCCCAACTTGACTTTTGATCCCTGTAATTCTGAATCCTGTTCCATGGAGTTCAGTCGTTAATTTAAGTTTCGAATTCTTGTCTATACCCTTGGACAGTGATATAACCCACTTCAGTCTCTGATAACTGAGTCCACTCCTGGTCCTTGCTCCGAGTCTGGACGTTGGAGGCCAATACTAGGCAGGTCTCTGTTCAAGACTCTAACTCAGATTCTGACATAAATCAGACTTATCGCCAATAAGCGCGTGAATGATGTTCAACATCATTAGCTGTTAAGGAAACATAAATCAAAGCTACAGTGAGAGACTACTTCCCACCCACCAGACTGGCTAAAATAAAAAAGAAGACAATAACAAGTGCTAGCAAAGATGTAGAGAAATTGGAACTCTCAAACACTTCTGGTCAAACAGTGCAGCCTCTTTGGAAAAAGCCTGACTGTAGGACCCAGCAGCTCCACTCCTAGGCATCTACTCTAGAGAAATGATAACATTTGTCCACACAAAAGCTTGCATGTGAATATTCATAGTAGCACTATTCACAATACCCAAAAGGTGGAAACAACCCAAAGACCAACAACTGATGAAAGGATAAGCAAAACATGGAATATCTGTACAGTGGAACATGATTGTGCCATGAAAAGGAATGAAGTGCTGATCCACACTACGACATAGAGGAAACTTGAAAGGATTATGCTAAGTGAAAGAAGTCACTCATAAAGGACCACGTGTTCTATGATTCCACTTCTATGTAATGTCCAGAAGAGGCAAATATAGAGGATTCCTGGTTGCTTAGGGCTGGAGGTGGGGAAGGAGATGGGGGATAGCAGATGATAACTAAAGGGTTTCTTTTGGGGATAATGAAATGTTCTAAAATTGATTGCAGTGACGGAGGTACACTAAAAGCCACTGAATTGTACACTTTAAGTGGGTGAGTTGTATGGTATGTCAATTATATCAATAAGTGTTTATAAAAAAAAGAACAAAAATCTACATTACCGTTTCAAGCTGCTGTTACAGCTAACCTGAGTAAATAAGAAAACAGATTAAAGCCTCAATACCACCACTAGTCAAACCTCTTTGAAGATGACTATGCTTTCCAAATAAGAATATTGTTACTCAGAAAGCACTTCTGCAAATGAAAAATTGCGGAGAAATTTTGCTTTGAACCTATTAGGTCTGATAACACAAAATCACTGTAAACTAGGATTTCTTGACCTCGGTCCTATTGACATTTTGTGCCAGATACTTCTTTGTTGCGGAAGTCTGAACTGTGCATTGCAGAATGCCTAGCAGCATCCTTGGCCTCGACCCACTAGATGCCAGTAGTACCTTCTACAGTGTGACAACGCAAAATATCTCCAGACATTGTGAAATGTCCCCTTGTCCTGGGAGGCAAACCGCTGCCGGCTGAGAACCCTTGTGGCAGCTAACGTTCCTAAACAGGTTTTTCTCTAAGCCTACAGCAGGGATTCTCAAACTGTGTTCTGATCGGCAACATCAGCCTCACCTGGGAACTTGCTGGGAATGCAAAGTCTCAGGCTCTGCCCCAGAACTACAGAATCATAAACTCTGGGAGTGGAGCAGTCCTCCGGGGATTCCAGTGCAGGCTCAAGCTTGAGAGAAAGCTCTGGGCATATCGGGGAGGGAGCCACTCATCACTTCCACTTCATTATAAACAGACTATTTGTGGTGGGCTACAAGGTGCAGGTATATATTCTTTCTTCTTTCCTGCTAACAAAACCCAGATTTCATTCAGGGAGCCCTTGATCTCAAGAAAAGTGGGTAGGGTGCAGGTGTGACTGACCCCTGATAAAATCTCTGGATGTTAGGGCCCAGGTGAGTTTTCATGGTTGGGAATACTTCATACATGTTGTCATATGCCATTGTCGAGAGGATTATGTACTGCCCCTTCTACTCCACTGGGAGAGGACATCGGGAAGTTTGCTTGTGTCTGGTCTCTCCTGGACTCTATCCTATGTGCCTTTTCCCTCTGCTGATTTTAATCTGTATCCTTTCAACTGTAATACAAATCATAACCATGAGTATAACAGCTTTTCTGAGTTCTGTGAGTCCTGATGAATCACTAAACCTGAGGGTGCTCTTGGGGCCTCCTGACACAGAAGGAATTACTCCTACAGAGAGAATCTGACCCCAGAGCCTATGATCTCCCACTATACAGCAATGCTATAACAGCAAAGCCAAGCAAACCAGACGCTGCTGATTTCTCGCAGTAACATATCAATTTTTTAACTTTTGAAAATTAAATTAAATTTTATTATTTTTAAAACTGGGATGCCTGGGTGGCTCTGCTGGTTGAGCGTCTGACTCTTGGTTTCGGCTCAGGTCGTGATCTTGGGGTTGTGAGATCAACCCCCCCTTGGGCAGTACAGAGTCTGCTCAAGATTCTCTCTGTCCCTCTCCCTCTGCCCCTCCTGGTCGGGCTCACTCTCTCTCTTTCACTAGTCTCTCTAAGAGATAAGTAAATAAGGGGTGCCTGGGTGGCTCAGTGGGTAAAGCCTCTGCCTTAGGCTCAGGTCCTGATGTCAGGGTCCTAGGATCGAGCCCCACATCAGGCTCTCTGCTCGGCAGGCAGCCTGCTTCTCCCCCCCCTCAACCGCCTGCCTCTCTGCCTACTTGTGATCTCTGTCTGTCAAATAAATAAAATCTTTAAAAAAAAAAGAGATAAATAAATAAGTAAATACTAAATTAAATTAATTAAAAAATAGATAAAATCTTTTTAAAAAGAATAAACAGGTATAATTGACATATAACATTATATTAGTTTTAGGTATATAACATGATGATTTGATATTTGTATATATTGCAAAATGATCACCAAAGCCTAATTAACATTTGTCACCATACAAAGAATTTTTTTCTTCTGATGAGAAGTTTTAAGACTTACTCTCTTAGAAAAAAAAAAAAAGACTTACTCTCTTAGCAACTTTCAAAGATGCAACATAATATCACTAACTATAGTCACCATGCTATACATAACATCCCCATGATTTATTTATTTTATATCTGAAAGTTTATACCTTCTAATCTTATAGGAAAAGCTTTAGCTTTTCGCCATTGAATATGATATTCGATGTAGGTAGGCCTACATTTCAGGTCCTGTATTCAAGTCTTTAATCCATTTTGAGCAAATTTTTGTGTATGGTATAAGAAAGTGTCCAGTTTCATTCTTTTGCATGTAGCCATCCCGTTTCCCCCAACACTATTTATTGGAGCATCTGTCCCTTCCCCACTGTATATTCTTGGTTTCTTTGTCATAAATTAATTGATGATATTTGTATGTGCTCAATATTTTGTTTTATGTAAGAACTAGGTAGGAACCAGATGGGAGGGAAGGAGCAAAGCAGACTTATCTAGAAACTAATTCTAGTCAAACTGTGATGGAAGAGCTACTCCAAGAGCATCTTCTGGTCTTGCAAATTATGTCTTACCCCTAAAAATGTTTTTGCAAGACTCTTCCAATTTTCAAAATAGTATCCCTCTCTTTCCTACTTGCTGATTGTACAGGAAAGAATCATTTTGCATGCTTTCCCTTAGAAGATTAACTTAGCTGTTAGCCAGACACCCAGCTGAGAAGTTCGGATTCCTGGAGGCCAGAGACATACATACCAGGCTTGATACAGAATGTCAGTGTATTTGGCAGTGACTGACTGCTGGGGTTGTCCCCAGTGCATGTTCTCCTCCTTCTGCCATTATAGACCCCTCAACTTTCAGCTGGGCATTTGGTTGCCCATAAAAATGAACTACTCTTGGGGCACCTGGGTGGCTCAGTGGGTTAAAGACTCTGTCTTCAACTTAGGTCATGATCCCGGAGTGCTGGAATCAAGCCCTGCATAGGGCTCTCTGCTCAGTGGGAAGCCTGCTTCTCCTCTCTCTCTCTCTCTCTCTCTCTCTGCCTACTTGTGATCTCTGTCTGTCAAATAAATTAAAAAAAAAATGAACTACTCTTCCTGACTTTCCTTACAGGTAGATGGAATGGAAATGTGAGTAAGTTCTGGCCAATAGGACATGAGTTGAAGCAGTGTGTCCTAAAGGCAAATGGAACATCCTTGCTTTCCCCTCTTCCTTTTGGTTGGCTTGAATGTGGATAAAGTCAACATGTTAAAGATGCTGGAGCAATGAGATAAAGGAGTCTAGACTCCTGTTACACTGACGCACCAAACCCATCCTGGACTGCTTATGTCTGTGCTGTTATACAGGAGAAAAACCTTTTCCTTTCAAAATACTTTGTTATTCAGGGTCTCTGCTCCAGCAACTCAGCCTACATCCTAATTAATAGAGTTGGTCTAGATACTTGAGTTCATAAAACTGCCCCACGCCTGCTCAGTTCTGTGACCCTTGTAGTAACCACATAAGAGGAGGTACATACTTTTGCAGAACTGTGTTCATGATTACTGCTGCTGTGACTTGGGTTCTCGACAGGGAGATGTCTACATCTCATCAATGTTCTTATTTCCCTTTTTACTAGAAAGAGCCTGGCAGAAGATATCACCGGGTTTCAGCACCCCTGGTCCGTAGCTTCAGAGGTGTAACATCTAGCAATGTACAAACAACCTTCCTGTGGTCCTCCAGGTTTCTCAGCTGTTCACGGTTACTCTGATGTTTTACATCATTTGAAACACAGCGTGTATTTTTGGGATTTATTTTACCCATCCTGCCCGAGGATATTAAAACCCAAATCTTAGCTGCTTTCTTTTTTATTCTGCCATTTGGCCTATTAAGAAACTAATCTTTAAAAATGATTTATTTATTTATTTGAGGGGGAAGGAGCAAGAAGAGAGGGAGAGGGAGTCTTAAGCAGACACCCCGCTGAGCACAGAGCCCCACGTGGGGCTTGAGGTCATGACCCTGAGATCACCACCTGAGCTGAAAACAAGAGTCGGATACTTAACTACGCCATCCCGGTGCCCTGAAATTAATTTATTTTTAAAACTAAGAGGATATGCTATAGAAAATTTGGGAAGAAGACCCAACTCCCAGTATGATCAGTATTAAAATAGTGTTGTAGGGGCGCCTGGGTGGCTCAGTGGGTTAAGCCTCTGCCTTCGGCTCAGGTCATGATTTCAGGGTCCTAGGATCGAGCCCCGTATCGGGCTGTCTGCTCAGTGGGGAGCCTGCTTACCCCTCTCTCTCTCTGCCTGATTCTCTGCCTACTTGTGATCTCTGTCTGTCAAATAAATAAATAAAATCTTTTAAAAAAATAGTGTATTTCTTTCTAGTCTTTTTATAAGTGTTTTTTGTTTAGACACTGCCTACATTAAAATTTTCATTTTACACTCTCTCCATTTATTATATTGTAAGCATTTCCCCATGCCACTGTCTAGTCTTCAGGGCCCCCATCTTTTTCAGTTGACGGGACTTCTGTCAGGTGAGTATAATACACTTGACCTAACTAGCTCCTATTGCTGGATACTCAGGCTTCTGTCTGTAGTGTAATGCATGGCTGGAAGAGTATGTCTATGCAGTACAGCTGGTGAGGGCTGGGAGCCTTCTCTCGCCATTGCTGGCAGGCTCGTTGGCATACTTCTTGGTTTGGGCAGAAGCTCAGTTGGCCAACTTGCCTGAAGAACATGTGGGTTTTCTAAGTTTATTTTTGGCTTTATTAACTACTAGATCTATAAGGCAGCACAATACTCATGTTCTAAAATTTAGGGACAATTTCTTGCTTATGTTTAAGCAAAACCAGATAGACTTTTCTATTATTTTTCTTTCAAAAGGGCAAGGAATTTGTTCCTCTGGAAGAGTGTTTGGGAAAACATGGAAAAAACAAGCATTGCCTGTAAAGGTCAGGGCTGGGATCGGGAGAACGAAAACAAAAACGAACATAGAGTTTTGACAATTCCTTCCATTTTCTTTCCTAAAACTGTGTTTTTGACATTGGATGGCACATCAGAATCACATGGGGAAGCTTTTGTCAAAATGCTGATCCTTAAGCCCTATCCCCACAGATTCTGATCTAACTGACCTATGTTGGGGCCCAGGCACATGCAACTAGGGTTAGGACCTGCTGTCTTAAAGGCAATGGGCAAATAGCATGGGAAAATATTCAGTCTCACTAACCATCAAAGAAATTTAAAATAAAATGACAAATATTTATGACCATAAGTGAGCATTAAAAATCACAGAATAGGTTGAGCGAAAGAAGTCAGACACAAAAAATTACATGTGGTAAGAATCCATTTAAATGAAGTGCTAGAAGAGACAGAGCTCAGAAGAGTGGATGTCTGGGAGGAGGCGGGGTACTCAGGAGATGCAGATTAACGCCAAAAAGTCCAGATAGAACCTTAAGGGATAATGGAAATGTTCTGGATCTTGAATGGGGTAGTGGGTATGCGGGTGTATACATTCAAATCTCTGCCTTTATTTTTTTTTTAAAGATTTTATCTATTTATTTATTTAACAGAGAGAGAGATATCACAAGTAGGCAGAGAGACAGGCAGAGAAAGACAGGGAAGCAGGCTCCCTGCTGAGCAGAGAGCCCAATGCAGCACTCAATCCCAGGACCCTGAGATCATGACCTGAGCTGAAGGCAGCGGCTTAACCCACTGAGCCACCCAGGCACCCCGAATCTGTGCCTTTATTATATGCCAATTATACCTCAAAGCAAAGAATATTGGGGAAAATGTCATCAGAGCCCTCCCTATAATAGCAGCACCCAATGCTAATGAGGATGGTGTAATTGCTACTCTTACATGATAATGGCAGAAAATTTTGGCGGGATGTTTCCAAATGTTTGTCAATACATTTTAAGATCCAGCGTTCCAGGTTTTTGACCAGTAATTCCACTCCTGGGAATTCATTCTATAAAAATAATGTTTAAAACAAAAAGTGTGTGTATATATATATGTGTGTGTGTATATATATATGTGTGTGTGTATATATATATATACACACACACACACATGTATACACACATACATATAAAAAAACGCACATATAGATATGTATACAAAAAGTGCATATGTACTTATATATGCATACACAAACCAAAATACTTTTTTTCTGTGTTATTCGGAGTAAAAATACCATTCATAGGACCAGTGAATAATTCTTAACTCATTAGGACTGTGTTGTGAGGGTCAATTCCAGCAGGCCTAGAACTGACCTGAGCTGTTTTGCTAAGTCCTTGCTTGCACTGACCAGTGGTCAAGCAATGAGACATGCCGATTAAAGCCACGTTGGTTTGTAATCACAGGACTGAGGAGTCTGATGGCAGTTTGCCCCAGCTTGTCAGCACTGTTTCCTGGTAACAGTGAGACTGAGGATATGTACTTGGTCTCAGCAGACCTCCGGAAGGCTGTGCTATTGAGGCTGGTTACCTAGCAGAAATATGCTCCCATGACCAGCAGGGAAAAAAAAAAAAAATCTCAGCTGAGACTCCATTGGGGATCCCCAGTTGTGAGGTGTTCGGTGCACACATTGGTAATTCCTGACCCCCAGAGAGGCAGTGGATCCCAGCATGGTCCTAACATAGGGAGTGCATCTGGGGGCCCCTGAGGGACCTCTTGGGACTGTCTGCCATGAGCCTGCCGTGGGAGGCAATGCATGTCCTGACCCTAATTCTGTTGTGCTACTGCATCTTTCTCCTGCAATGAGCTGTACATTTGGAAGGTACTGTTAGTACCTGGGTTCTATTAGTCCTCTTTAGCGATCAGAACCGTTTAGCTGCTGCTATTAGTGCAAGGGCATAGCAACTTTACGAAATATTATGTTCTACAGAAATAAGCAAATTCAAAGACTGTAGCAACATAAGCACAATGCTTATATGAGAAAACACGAAGGGGAAAAGAATGTAAAATTGTACCCAAGCTATGATAGTAAAATCACAAAACTGTGTTTATTGCCAGAGACTAGGCGTGAACACAGGGAGGATTCTGGGCAAGCAATGGATATACACTTTAGATTCAGTATCAGCACATCTGGCAGGCATTGTGGCATTTTATATGCTCTGGATCTAGCACTTCATTCTTCCAACTCTAATACCAAGATAAGAGGTGGAAAGAGCACTATAGAGGTTATAGAGGACTGAGTTCTAGCCTTAGATTTGTAAGCGGCATGAATGGAACCACGCATACTCCCCTGACCATGGTTTCTACATTTCTCGGTAATGTGATAATCAAAGCAAGATAAGGAATAGCAAAAATACCTTAAAGAGCAGTAAACAGTGGTTTTTAAATCAATATCATTAATACTATCAACATCGTAGGTGAGTAATAATACAAAAGAATAAGAAATTTCAGCTTAATTGAAGGAATAGAGTAGAAGACTACAGAGCTAGGAGCAGAGAGGTGGATCATGGAAAAGGAACTAAAAAAAAAAAAAGATATAATAGTAGCTGTGCGTTAGACATTGATCTAAGCAAGTGCTTTATGTATATTTATTCAATTCTCATAACAGCTTTATGAGAAAGTACTATTATTTTGTCCATTTTAAAGATGAAGGACCTCAGGCACAGAGAGGGTACATAACGTATCCAAGGTCACACAGCTAGTTTCTAGTAGAACCAGGATTTGTACCCAGGCAATATGGCTCCAGAGTCCATACTCTGAACTACTATGCTACATTCCAGAAAGGAGGAAAGTGGGAGGAATGTGGTAGAATGATGAGCAGGGAATGTAAGAAAGAACCAGAAGTTCAGAAACACATTTTTTATTGAGCACCTACTATATACAGGAGACTATGGATAAAAAGATGCATAAGACCATGGCCCAGACCCTTGAAAAGCCTACAGTCTGGTGAGGAGGACAGGTAGTGAAACATACTATTTCAAAAGAATGCGGCAAGTTCTGAAATAAATACAAAGAGGCATGTACAAAGGCTATAGTGTACAAAGAATGAGCACTTCACCCAGTCCAGGCTGGTGGTGTCGAGAAAGGCTTCTTGGAGAAGGTGACTCCTAGTCTAAGAATTATGAGTTGAAATGAGGAGTTGAAACAAGGAGAGGGTGGTCAGACAGAGCGAAGAATGCGAGGGGAGAAGAGCAGGAAGGCAAATGAAAAGGGTCTATTTGGGGAAAAGCATGAACTCCCCATTTGGAGGGAACTCGTTTTCATTTACCTCACATGGACATCAAGCTGCTTCAGAAACTGCCCATATTCTTCACAGAGTGCTTTCTTCTCCTGCTGCAGCCCAGATATCTTTTCTGATAATTCTCGGTTGCTTTTGAGATGCTGAAAAACATTTTTTTTTAAAATGAGACTATTCTGTGCTGCAAGATTAGAAGTCTGAAAACCACACTTCCCTTGACAGCAGAGTTCCAACAAAGGAGAGGCACTTGTACACAGTCTAGAGGGCAGTGGGAGGGTAGAGCCGTCGTCCTCCAGCTCTGGTGGGGAGGTGACCAGGCAGACAGCAGAGGAGGCATTTACAGGGGTTCAGGAAGTGTTCCTGCAACTCCCTCTCTCTGGGGCTGCAGGAGGGGGTTTCCCTGGGGTTTCTGGACTTCTGGAGTTACCCAAAGTTCTGACATTCTGACATTCTCCTCATCCCGGCATCTCCCTTCCAACAGTTTGTAAGCATGTTATTCCCTGTGTTCAATCCTTTCCTGCTGGAGATAGCTAGAGTAGATTCTGCTTTCCTGATAAACTTAAGGGGTAAAATGCTGGGCCGTCAATAACCATCAGCTGTGACTCGGGTCTACAGGAATAGGAAAACTGAAAAGTGCATCCATTTACTTTCTTACCTCTTCTGATTTTCTTTTTTCCTCTTCCAGTTGTTTGAGTTGGGCCTCCTGTTCCTGAATTCTGGATTGCTGCTGAGAATTGGTTATTTCCAGTTGATTCCTTTTATCTTGTAAGATTCTCACTTGCTTTTGTAGCTCTTTTAAATTCTGACCCAGGAGTCTCCTGAGGGCAATTAATGTACATTAAATTACACTGAATTTATGAAATTCTTTGACCTAAAATTATTATATCATCACAAGGGATTTTACTGGTTCAATGAGGTAGGATATGTGTTCATAAAATAAAGAGACCAACATAGGGGACCTCTTTTGTGGCAGATGCTCTTCTTAGTTCTTGCTCTCACTCATGAAAACAACCCTCTGAAAAGGAAGTAACTTCCCTTATTTCTCTGTGGCCCAGAGAGCTTTTATTAACCTGCTAGAACAAGATGGATGTAGGACTCTAATCCTGAATTCTCTATTCTTTCCCCTCATCCTCACTGCTTTACAAGTTGAGTCCCTTGATCTTGGTTCAGGATGGTGCTGTTCGTTACATACACTACTGAGACTAAGGCACACGTGTTAATGTTGCAGAAGCTGAATCATAAATGAGCCTGTGTTTGATGAGGAAGTTCCCCCTTTTCCAGAAGGGGCATAAGTACTTAACTCCTTCAGAGGGAATCTCATCAGACCACAGTTTGTGGAAGAGTTTCTGAAGATTTCCAACAAGACTCTTTGGATTTAGGGGTGCCTGGGTGGCTCAGTGGGTTAAGCCTCTGCCTTCAGCTCAGGTCATGATCCCAGGGTCCTGGGATCAAGCCCCGCATCAGGCTCTCTGCTCTGCAGGGAGCCTGCTTCCCCCCACCCCCCTGCCTGCTTCTCTGTCTACTTGTGATCTCTGTCTGTCAAATAAATAAAATCTTAAAAAAAAAAAAGACTCTTTGGATTTAGGAGATTATCTAGAAGAATACGATAAGCGTGATGGAGTAGTACCTACATGCTAGGTCACTACTGATATTGGACAAATGAGCTCACTTTCTCTAACTTCAGTTTTCTGAAAAACCAATGGATTCCTGGGAAAGATTGAGAGATTTGAGACATGGGACTCATACCTCTCAACCTCCAGTACCTCCAATTCTTGTTGTGGTTCCTGATATAAGCGCAGGCTCTATAAGCTTACCTCCTGCCATTCACATCCACTCCTGCACCAGCACTGCCCTCTTCATCTCTGTTTTCATTTCATTCATTACAGACCTGAGCAATTCCTGCCTCTTATTGTCTACTTCTTTTTTGGTTCCATTCTGAATTTCTGATCAAGGGGCCAGACTAAGTAATAAGATTTTGAGCTGAAAGGGAGGTTTTTAAATTGCTGGCACTAAAGAAACTTGAGTTAGCTATAATGGAATTTAGGAGTTGGAAATTGTCATTGAAATATAGCAAGTCAAAATTTAAAAAGCAATTGATGAATATGTTAGAAATTAATTCCCACATTACATATAGTTTGAGCAAAGATGAAGAGATAAACCAGTTATGCCAATGAATGAAATTAAGAAGCCTCTCTGCTCCTCTCCATTAGACTGACAGCCACATCTTCCAGGGCAGTGCCAGCCATGTCCCTGAGACACAATTGTCCGAGTAAACGAATTTGGTCACATTGGGCACCTGGCCACCAGGGCCACTTTTAACTCTGACAAAGTGGATACTGTCGCCATCAATGGCCCCTTCACTGACCTCAACTACACAGTCTACATGTTCCACTATGATTCCACCAATTGCAGATTCCATGGCATAGGCAAGGCTGAGAATGGGAAACTTGTCATCAATGGAAAGCCCCTCTCCATCTTCCAGGAGCAAGATCCTGCCAACATCAAATGGGGTGATGCTGGTGCTGAGTATGTTGTGGAGTCCATTGGGGTCTTCACCACCATGGAGGAGGCTGGGGCTCACTTGAAAGGTGGGAACCGAGAGGGTCATCATCTCTGCCCCTTGTGTTGATACCCCCATGTCTGTGAGGGGCATGAACCTTGAGAAGTAAGACAACTCCCTCAAGACTGTCAGCAATGCCTCCTGTACCACCAACTGATTAGCTCCTCTGGCCAAGGTCATCCATGACAATTTTGACATTGTGGAGGGACTCGTGACCACAGTCTATGCCATCACTGTCATTCAAAAGACTGCGACAGCCCCTCTGGGAAGCTGTGGTGTGATGGCCAAGGGGCTGCTCAGAACATCATCTGCTTCTACTGGCACCATCAAGACTATAGGCAAGGTCATCCCTGAGCTGACTGAGAAGCTCACTGGCATGGCCTTCTGCATACCCACCCCCAACATGTTAGTCATGGATCTGACCTCCCGCCTGGAGAAAGCTGCCAAATACAATGACATCGAGAAGGTGGTGGAACAGGCATCGCAGGGCTCCCTTAAGAGCATCCTGGGCTACACTGAAGACCAGGTTGTCTTCTTTGATTTTCACAGTGACACCCACTCTTCCACCGTCAGGCCTGGGGCTGGCATTGCTCTCAATGACCACTTTGTCTAGCTCATTTCCTGGTATGACAATGAATTTGGCTACAGCAACTGGGTGGTGGACCTTATGGTCCACATGGCCTCTAAGGAATAAGAGCCCCCTGACCACCTCAGCGAGAGCCTCAGCGAGAGCAAGAAGAGAGAGGACCTCAACCACAGGGGACTCCTTGCCCCAACTCATCTCCCAACACACTGAAAATCTCCTGACCACCACAGTTTTCATCGCAGACCCCTTGAAGAAGGGGAGGGGCTTGGGCAGCCCTACACTGTCCTGTTCCATCAATAAAGTATACTGTACCCAGCTTAAAAAAAAAGAAATTAAGAAATCAGTAGATTGAGGAACTCCCCATCTCCCCAACAGCTTCAACCTCTCAATCCATTCCTTATGTAGCAACCAGAGTACTCTTTCTACATCACAATCTTATCATATCATAAAGTCCAAGCACTTCAATAGAGCTTGTTAGCTAGCTCAGCTTTCCAGCCTAGTTTTCTTACTACTCACTCTATCCCCAAACATTTTGTTACAGGCAAAATGAACTTTTTTCACTTCCTGAAATAAGTCATCCTCTACCCTTACTCCTCCCCCACAAGTCCAAGCTTTTCCTTATCTTCCTCTCCTAGGACTTCCTTCCTCTAATATTCTCTATTGAGCCATCCACCCCAAATACCTCACATTCAGTTTAAATAGCTTTCTTTGAGAGAGGCTTTCTTGAGCTCCCTAGACCAGATTAAGTGTCTCTGCTATGCACTGTCACAGCACCCTAAACCTCCCTTAGTATAATGCTCACCATAAAGTCTACGCACAAGGATATTCATTGCAGCATTATTTGTAACAAAATGTCTAAGAAGCATTTTACATAAATTATAGTATATCTATGTAAAGAATGCTATACAACTGTTTAAAATAATGTCATGGAATTAAAAATCAAGGTTGCCTGGGTGGCTCAGTCATTGAATGTCTGCTTTCGGCTCAGGTCATGATCCCAGGGTCCTGGGGTTGAGCCCCACATTGAGCTCCCTACTCGGCAGGTAGCCTGTTTCTCCCTCTCCCTCTGCCTGCTGTTCCCCCTACTTGTGCTCACTCTCTCTCTCTGTCAAATAAATAGATAAAATCTTTAAAAAAAATAAAAAACTTATAATATGGGAATCCTTAATACATAAACTGAGTTGCTTCCCCCCAGAGACAATTTGGGGAAACCAGGGGGCTGTCTACTGGGGAACACTTCAAGACTCCCAGCTTAATATCAGAGTCTCTAGCTCACCTCTCCCACTTTGGGGCAAACTTCCTCAGCAACTTTTTCCCAAACCTGGGGCTGATGTTATTAATTGCTCCCTGACTTAGAAGTTTATTTACACTCATTGTTTTTGTTTGAGCTTATTATATGTTTGCTGTTAGTGCTTTCTCTTGCTTTATCGTGGCTGATACTTTAAAAGGTATGCTCATGGTTTATTCGGGATCTAGCTGTATCATAACAGGAAGATGGCCTACCATCCTGTTAGATGCGGCAATGAGACAAGTGTTTTTCTACTGTACCTCACTGAGTGGAACTCATTATTCATTCATATATTCACTCATTTACTTACTCAAAGATTCATTCAGTCATGATCTCTGAGTACCTACTGAGTGCTGCGCCCTATGCTAGCGCTTTTTACTAAAACTGAAAGTAAATTTCTCAGCTTCATAATACGTGTGAATGTCTGCATGTCTTTTCAGTGGCTAAAACCATATTTTTCTTAAAATATATGCGAATCACTCGGAGTGTCATAGAAGTAGGAAGCATCGGTTCCTGAAGTTTAGGGCATCCAGGAAGGTCATTTAAGTAAGAATTGTGATAGTAATAATTTTAGAAAAAAAAAAATGAAAGCTCCTAACTGGTCACAGATTCTTGATGTAATCATCAAGAACGATGCCTATAAAGTACTTGGAAATTCTTTGAAGAAAACCAGCTGATAAATACAAAAGTCAATTTCATTTAGTTTGCATTTTACGCCAACCATGCTAGAACTAGAAAAGCAAATCCCAGAGTAGCATATTTCATAGGTCACCCAGTCATTCAAGAAAACTGACTGGTGCACTGTATGTGTCTCAGAGCAACAGAAGTAATCCCAGCCTTGAAGAAATCTGACACTCTGGTGTGAAAAGCAAACAAGGAAAGCAACTAGAATACAGTGTGATAAGAAGTTGCGCCACGGAGTTCAGGTCAGCGGGAACAGTGAGGAAATGCACAGGAACGCTGACAGGCCGGTGTGCTCAGTGGTTAGACCCTGTGACACTGACATCTTTGTTCCTCTTACCTCTTGTGCTGTTCTTCCTGATATTGCTGCTTTGTTTTAGCTTCATTTTCCAGTGCTTCTTTTATCCTTTGCTCTAGTTGCTTCATCCCCAAAATATAAGTGTCGGAGAGAGAGACTTTTTGAGCATGTTCTAATTTCTGCTGCAGATCCAGGATCTTGAAGGAAGTATTTCGTGAATAAAACATTAAGAAAAGTCTGACCTTTTTTCCAGTTAAGGAAATACCCCATGAGCAACCAGAAAACGTCATGCTAACAAACAAATCTGGTCTAAAGTAAAGAGCACGGCCAAGTTTATTTTAACTCTAAAATAAATTACCTATGTTTTACATTATATGATACATTCACATAGTTTAGTGTATGTTTGTGTAAACGAAGTTATATAGTGAAAACTCCTTCTCATCTCTATCCTGTCTTCCTGCCAGTTTTCCTCAATCATGTAGGTAATCACTGGTATTAGTTTCTTGTGTACCTTTCCAGAGATTTATTGATGCCCACATAAATACTATTATGCAGTTCTCTCCCATACACATATTTTTTACACAAATGATGGCATATCTTATGTACTTATGCACCTTGCCTTTTAAAAAAATTGGGGGGGGGGCAGAGGGGCAGAGGGAGAATCTTAAGCAGGCTCCACCCCAGCGCAGAGGCCCCCCCACAGGGCTCGATCTCATGACCCCAAGACCATGACCTGAGCCGAAACAAGAGTCAGAGGCTTAACCAACTGAGCCACCCAGGCACCCCTGCACCTTGCTTTTTAAAAATAATACACTTGGTGATTTTTCTGTATTACATGTTTATGTAGAATTGCCTTCTCTTTTATAGCCACATACTATTCTACCATAAGGATATACTATAACTTACTTAAGTAGATCCCTACTGATGGGATATTTAAATTGATTCCAATCTTTTGCTATTACAAACAATTGTTCTAGAATAAATTATGAGATAAGAATTTGCTATGGCAAAGGTTATTACTTATTTGTTTAATAGATAATGCAGGAGCGTCTGGGCGGCTCAGTGGGTTAAAGTCTCTGCCTTCGGCTCAGGTCATGATCTCAGGGTCCTGGGATGGAGCCCCACATCGGGCTCTCTGCTCGGTGGGGAGCCTGCTTCCTCCTCTCTCTCTGCCTGCCTCTCTGCCTACTTGTGATCTCTCTCTGTCAAATAAGTAAATAAAATCTTTTTAAAAAATTGATAATGCCAACCTGGCTCTATAGGTATTAGGCTAATTTATACTTCCAACAGCAATGTGTGAGCGTGTGTAGTTTCTTTACAGTGTAGCCAGATTCACAACAAGATTTTAAAATAAAGCAGAAGTCTCTTACAAACCAAGTACTTATTAGGATATCACCTAGCATCAGTAATACATTGTTCAATGTACTGGTAGAACTAAAAATAAGACTTATGAATTTGATAGAGAGATGTATCATTTTATTTTAGAATTTACATGTTAGATTAAAAGTATCATTAAAAACTTTTTTTGGTAGGTAAGTCTATTTTTGTTTATCTATTTTTTATAAACCCTTGTGTCACCCAAAATCGTGACACAATTTTGTATACTATGTACTGGTACATAGTAGATGCTCCATAAATATTTGTTGAATGAATAGTTTTTAGCAAAATAGTCATTGTCTCTCAAATGTATTCTTGATCTGACAATGCATGCTTTACAATGGTTTGGAACCACATTCCCCACAAACATTCACTGAATGCCAGTGGATGGCACTCCTTTTTTTAAAAGCAGGGCTTTGTGCATCAGCCCTAGATCCTTGCAGAGCCCATGAACCATAGGAGAGGTGAAGATGCAGAATGATTCAAGGGCAATGGTAATGGACAGCCAGTCATCATGAGGTCAGCTCAAGTTCCTTTGAGCTGCCCCACTTAGTTCTGCTTAGGGAAAATGATTCCTTAAAGATATCCACTCTTAATTCCACAAATGATAATATCACCCTGTTGGCTTCTCTACCAAGGACATATGCAAACGTTTGAACCTGTCACCCAGTTTAAGAAAATAACATTTCAGGGTGCCTGGGTGGCTCAGTGGGTTGAGCCTCTGCCTTCGGCTCAAGTCATGGTCTCAGGGTCCTGGGATCAAGCCACGTGTCTGGCGCTTTGCTCAGCAGGGGGCCTGTTTCCCCTCTCTCTCTGCCTGCCTCTCTGTCTACTTGTGCTTTCTCTGTCAAATAAATAAGATCTTAAAAAAAGAGAAAATAACATTTCCAATACTTTTGAAGTCTAATCCGAGACCTTGCTGATTAGCCCCCTTCCCTCCCCACTTGAGAAAACCAGTATCTGAATTTTGTATTAACCATCTCCTTGGTTTTTCTTTAATATATAAGCTATATAACATGGATTTTACTGTATACCATTTTGACCTTAATATCAATGGACTTGTACTGTGTTTCTGATGATTTGGTTTTGTTTTTTTTTTTTAAAGATTTTATTTATTTATTTGACAGAGAGATCACAAGTAGGCAGGGAGGCAGGTAGAGAGAGAGAGAAGCAGGCTCCCTGATGAGCAGAGAGCCCAATGCGGGGCTTGATCCCAAGACCCTGAGATCATGACCCGAGCCGAAGGCAGAGGCTTTAACCCACTGAGCCACCCAGGCACCCCTTGGTGATTTGGTTTTTATTCAATATATGTTGAACTACAATATGTACCTATAATTCATGTATTTTCACTGTTTTACGCTATTATATAAATATACAGCTTATTTATTCTATCTTATGTCAGTGGACATTTGGGTTGCTTCCAGTTTTCTGCTATTTGGAACAATGTTCCTACAAAAATGATTATATTCCTATCTCCTGACACATATGTGCAATATGACATTTTCTCCAGTATTTCTGCCTACTGGCAGAAGTGTTGGGTTGTATGGTATATACATCTTTAATGTAACTAAATACAAATGCCAAATGCTTTCCAAAGTGTTTATATTGGGGTGCCTAAGTGGCTTAGATGGTTAAGTGTCTGGCTCTTGATCTCAGCTCAGCTTGTGATTTTGGGGTCCTGGGGTCAAGGCCCACATGGGGCTCTGTGCTCAGCAGCAGGGTGTCTGCTTGATGATTTTCTCTCTCCTTTCCCCCACTGTCCCTCTCCCCCGCTCTCATGTGTGCTCTCTCTCTAAAATAAATAAATCTTTTAAAACCCCCCGAGTGTTTGTACTAATTTGTTCTCCCAATTGAAGTCAATAAATGAGTCCTTGTCACACAAAATGCTCACCAATATTTAGTACTGTCTAAATTCAGGTTTTTTTGTTTGTTTGTTTGTTTTACTAATCTGCATTTTTTTTTTTTTTACTAAACTTGGGTTTGTTTGTTTGTTTTTTTTTTTTTACTAATCTGTAATTACCAACTACTTTTTAAATGGAGTAATAACATACATAAAGTGTGCATATCTTAAGCATACCAAATGAAGTTTTACTTAAACAACCACCTCTCACATCAAGACATACAATACTCCGGGGCACCTGGATGGCTCAATGGGTTAAAGTCTCTGCCTTCAGCTCAGGTCATGATCCCAGGGTCATGCCATCCCAGGAGCCCACACTGGGCTCTCTGCTCAGTGGGGAGCTTGCTTCCCCCCCTCTCTGTCTGCCTCTCTGCCTACTTGTGATCTCTCTGTCAAATAAATAAATAAAAGTCTTAAAAAAAAAAAAAAGATATACAATACTCCCAGCACCACAGAAGATTCCCTCTCATTCTCTCCCAATTAGAAACCCTCATAAAGACAACCACCATCTTCTGATCACAGCTGAGTTTTGTCTATTCTTAAACCTCATATAAATGAAATTACACAGTATGAACGTTCTTGTTCTGGTTTCTTTAGCTCAAAATTAGGCTTCCAAGCATAATTAAGGTTGCTATCATCTACTTTTTGATGTTGGTTTTATGTTTATATGGTCTGATGAAATGATTTACTTATTTTATGATTTATTTTTTTATGTGAGATTGGACTCTCAAACCCACAAATCAAAATGTGCTACTGTTACATACCACTGCCACCTGGTGTTAGGCAGTATGAAATGCAGGGGCATGATTTCCAAACATCCTTTTCACAACACAAATTGCCCCCCCAAGTTAAAAGATTAAAAATCATATAAACAGACAAATGAGAGGAGAATCAGTTTTTTAAAAGTTGAAAGCATAAAGCAAAAGTCATATGGCTTCAATCAGTTACTTTAGGTTCATGTTACAGCTTTATTAAACCTACCTTTTTTTTTTTTTTTTTTTAAAGTTCATGCAGTTTAAAGAAACACGAGCTTTACTGAAACTGCAGGAGCAGGTGAAGTCAAGAGAGAGGAGAGCATAGAAGAGCAAAGAAAAACCCTAGAATTCTATCAAGTCTGCTTCGCAGCTACTTCTTAGACTCCTTAGGGAAATGGGATTTCAGTAGTGGAATCCAGTGCACGCTATTTATTAAGCATGAGGATAATTACCTTTGCCTCCGCATCAGCAACTTTTGATTTCTCCTGAGCCAGCTTTTCCTGCAGGTTGTTCTGGGATTTGATGCTCTGAGCCTGTGTAAGTCCCTCCAGCTCCAGTTCCCTGATTTTCTGCTGACTGTGATTCCTTTCTGCTGTGAGTGAAGAGCACATCTTTGTGCTATCTAATAACTTCTGCTGGGCCTGCTTTAGTTCAATTTTGATCTGGAGGTGGGGAATAAACAAGAGTGATAGGAATAAGCATGGCAAAAAGGTGAATGTGAGCCAGAACAAGCACTTTTCATAGTGGTGCTGTCCCCCAAGAGCTGACAAATAACCAGTGTCACATGCATGATTACCTCTCCAGAGCTGTCACGTGTTAGGAAGGCTTGCCAAAGTCTATCTAGCCAGATGGCAGCCGGACAGAGGAATTTTCCTAAGAGTTTCTATACATGCATGGTCTGAACACTTTCCATCCTTTTGTTCAATCGACTGCAAGCTGGCTTTCATTCCCACTCCTCCGTGAAACTGTCTATGCCACGGGCACTACTAATCTCCCCACTGCAAAATGAATCCAATGGACAACTAAGCTTTTAGGTAGCGTTCACGCCCTCCATCTCAGAAAGTTCTCTTGGAGTCTATGATACTGAAGTCTCCTGGTGTTCTCCTACCTCTTTGCTGTTCCTTCCTGGTTCTTCCTGCGTAGACTATTCTAATGCGACTCAACTTCTAAATATCACTGGACTACTGTAGGCCTTGAGAGTGGCTCATTCTCTCCCTAGGTTCATGATTTGAAATACCACCTTCATGCCAATAACTGCTAAAATAAAACTCCTTGAGTCTGTCCATATCAAACATAATTTTTCTCTCTCTGTCTTCCTGATTTCAGTAAACGATGCCACCATCTAAGGTTTTGTTCAAGCCAGTAGTCTGAGAGTCATCCTGAGTTTTCCTTACCTATCATGAGCCCATTTGGCACCCACTGGCATTCTGCCTCAACAACATGTCTTGCACCTGCCCATCCGAGTCCACCACCCTTGTCTATGACACCATCATTTCTAGCCTGGGTCATCGCAGTAACAACGTGGTCCTGCCACTTCCATCTGTTCTCTACGTTGCAGACCAAGTGTTCTTTTCTCTTTCTTCTTCTTTCTTTCTTCCTTTCTTTCTTCTTTCCTTTCCTTTTCCTTCCTTCCTTCCTTTCTTCCTTCCTTCCTTCTTTATCTCTTTCTTTCAAGAGCAAGTACACAGGTTAGGAGTGGGTGGGAAGAGAGTGAAAGGGAGAGAATCTTAAGCAGGCTTGATGCCCAACAGGGAACCGACACAGGGCTCCATCTCACAACCCTGAGATCATATCCTGAGCCAAAATCAAGAGTTGGAGGTTTTTGGTTTTTTTAAGATTTAATTTATTTCTTTGACAGAAAGAGACACAGCGAGAGAGGGAACACAAGCAGGGGGAGTGGGAGAGGGAGAAGCAGGCTCCGTGCAGAGCAGAGAACTCAATGGGGAGCTCCATGTGGGGCTTGATGAAGAGCTCAATGGGAGGTTTGACGGGGAGCTCAGTGCAGGGCTCGACCCCAGCACCCTGGGATCGCGACCTGAGCCAAAGGCAGAGGCCTAACGACTGAGCCACCCAGGTGCCCCAAGAGTTGAAGACTTAACTGACTGAGCCAACCAGGTGCTGCCTCCCTCCTTTTTTCCCCTCGCCAACCTCTTTTATTTAAATCACAAGTTATTTAGTACCATGAAAGTAAAAAGGATCATCTCTATATTTAAAAACTGATGACTAACTTAACTAAAAATTTTGAAAATTTAAATGAAAAATCTCTATAAAAATAAAATATACCAAAGTTGATACAAGAATTCTTAAAAAACGTAACTTCTTATAATTATTAAGAAATTGAATCAGTAATGGAAAATCTTTCCCAGAAGAAAACTCTAGAATCAGAAGGACTCAGAAATGAGTTCTTATAATTATTTAAGAAGAAATAATTGTAATTTATTTTTACAAACTCTTCCAGAGAATAGAAAAAGAGGGTATGTTACCCATCTCATGTTAAGGGGCTAGGGTAACCTTAATGCCAAAATCTGACATGGATGTTATAAGAAAGGAAAAAGACAGGCCAGCGTCATTTGTGAACTAAGATGAAAAATTCCAAAGAAATATTGGCAAGCTAAAATCAGGAACATAGAAAAGGGATAATGATTTAGGATGAGGTTGGGTTTATCCCAGGAATGCAAAGTTGAGTTAACATTAGAAAATCAGTCAATGTAATTCACCATAATAACAGATTTAAAAATCAAAATATGCAGAAGAAGAATTTGATGAAATTGAACATGTGCTCATCATAAAACATTGAATGAACACTAGAAAAGAATTTTCTTAATGTGATTCTTAAAAATCTATTTTAAAAAACCCTTTAGGGGTACCTGGGTGGCTCAGTTGTTAATGTCTGCCTTTGGCTCAGGTCATGATCCCAGGGTTCTGGGATCGAGCCCTGCATCAGGCTCCCTGCTCAGTGGGAAGCCTGTCTCTCCCTTTCCTACTCCCCCTGTTTGTGTTCCCTCTCTTGCTGTCTCTCTCTCTGTCAAATAAATAAATAAAATCTTAAAAAAAAAAAAAAAAGAACCAGCCTTGGTCTCCAAAACTTAAAAAAAAAAAGAAAAAACAAAAAACCTCTAAAAACATACTAAATGAAATTTGAGAGCTTTCCCCTTGAGACAAGGAAGGAGAAAATATACCCCTATCACCAGCTCTATTTGGCACTATACAAGCCACTGCTTTGAACAAAAATAAAGAATAACAGGTGTAATATGTGGAAGGAAAGAAAGAAAATTATATTTATTCTTAGATATGATTATTCACATATAAAATACAAAATGATAGAAACATAAATTATAAGAAGTAATTTAGGGGCGCCTGGATGGCTCAGTTGGTTAAGCATCTGCCTTCGGCTCAGGTCATGATTCCAGGGTCCTGGGATGGAGCCCTGTATCAGGCTCCCTGCTCTGCAGAGAGCCTGCTTCTCTCTCTCCCTCTGCCTGCTGCTCTGCTTATTTGTGCTCTCTCTATCTCTCTGTCAAATCAATAAATAAAATCTTTTTTAAAAAGTAATTTTAAAGTATGGCAAGGTTTTTATTAGAAAAAATTTATTGCATTTTTATGTACTAGCAATAGCTAGAAAGTGAAATTTTTTAAAAGTTACCAATTACAATAGTGTGGAAAGTATCAGCACCTAGGAATATGTCTAGCAAAAGGCATATAAGACCTCTACAAAGAAAAATATGATATTGGGAGAAATTAAAGAAGACCTAAATATAATACACACACTTTTAAAAAAAGATTTTATTTATTTATTTGACAGAAAGAGAGAAAGAGAGCACAAGCAGGGGGAGAGGCAGAGGGAGAGGGAGAAGCAGGCTCCCCGCAGAGCAGGGGAAACCCGACCATGACCTGAGCCAAAGGCAGCGGCCCAACCAACTGAGCCACCCAGGCGTCCCTACACACACATTTAGCAGAGGATTTGATACTGCAACGATTTAAATTCCTCCCAAATTTGGACGCCTGGGTGGCTCAGTCAGTTAAGTGGCTGCCTTTGGCTCAGGTTATGATCACAGGTCCTGGGATGGAGCCCCACGTTGGGCTCCTTGCTTAAGCAGGGAGCCTGCTTCTCCCACTGCCTGCTCTGCCTGCTTCTCCCCCTACTTGTGCTCTCTCTCTCTCTCTGGCAATAAATAAAATCTTTCAAAAAAAGAATTCTTCCCAAATTTATCTATAGATTCAGTATACAAATTCAGTGTATAACTCTCAAAAGGTCATTTGTGTATATATGTGTGTGTGTGAGTACATGTGGGTATGCGGATTTAACTTGACAAGCTGTTGATAAAATTTTTATAGAATTTCAAAGGCCAAGAATGCCAAGGCATCCTAGAATAAGAACAAGATGAAAAGATGTGTTCTATCAAATATTAAGATTTACATAAAGCTAACATAATTAAGATAGCATGTTATTGGCACAAGAATAGACAAAACAGGACAATGGAACAGAATAGAGACCTTGGAAACAGACCACATATATGCCAATATATTTTTTAAAGATTTTATTTATTTATTTGACAGAGAGAAGCAGCGAGAGAGAGAGAGAGAGAGGGAAGCAGGCTCCCTGCTGAGCAGAGAGCCCGATGTGGGGCTCGATCCCAGGACCCTGAGATCATGACCTGAGCCGAAGGCAGAGGCTTTAACCCACTGAGCCACCCAGGCGCCCCATATGCCAATATTCTTATGACCCATGTAACAATATAGTAATATAGGAGAATATCTTTATGACTTTGAAGTCGACAGAGAACTCTTTCTTTCTTTTTTTAAAGATTATTTATTTATTTATTTGAGAGAGAGAGAGAGAGAGCAAGAGTAAAGGGGAGGAGCAGAGGGAGAAGGAGAAGCAGATTCCCTACTGCACAGGGAGACCAATGCAGGGCTGGATCCCAGTGGAATCATGACCTGAGCCGAAGGCAGATGCCCAAACAACTGAGCCACCCAGGCGTCCCTCAAAACATATATTTAGAGAGTGAAAATATAAGCCATAGAGTAGAAGATGTTTGTAATACACACCTGATCAAAGCTTCATATATAAAGAATTCTTATAAATTAATGGGAAAATGAAAATGACAGAAGCGCCCCAAAAAGTAAGCAAAATCTTGAACAGGTCTTCACAAAATAGCAACTCAAATGTCAAAGAAATATATAGAAAGCTGCTCAACTTCATTTGTAAACAGGGAAACGCACTTTAAAACTGCTAGGAGTGGGGCGCCTGGGTGGCTCAGTGGGTTAACCCTCTGCCTTCGGCTCAGGTCATGATCTCAGGGTCCTGGGACGGAGCCCCACATTGGCCTCTCTGCTCAGCAGCAGCCTGCTTCCCCCTCTTTCTCCACCTGCCTCTCTGCCTACTTGTGATCTCGCTCTGTCAAATAAATAAATAAAATCTTTTTTTAAAAAAAACTGCTAGGAGCTACCGCAATACACATACATGAGATTAGCAAAAATTGTCAAGTCATAATCTGTGTTGCTCTGGTCATTACACCTTGAGAAAGATGTAGTATTGCTTGAATATGTTCAGAGTTAGACAGTGAAAATTATCTCAGAAATGTGTTTGAAAGGAAAAGGAAATGCTGTCTTACAAGGAAATATGATCAAGATTTGGAATTTAATTTACTACTACGAAGGCTTGAGGGAATATGGTCAATATTCAAAAAATCATGAAGGGTGAGGAATAAGGAAGCAGTTTCTTCAAATAATCCTGAAATACTAGGACTCTCTAGAAGGGCCTCCTTTCAAGTTTGACGTAAATGACTACTTGTTTTCCTCTGTATCTCCCCCACTGTGTTGTGAGTTCCTAAAAAGGAGGAACCCTTCTTAATCTCTTTTTAGATCACTTTTTGAAGAAGGTACCTTGTTCCCGCTACACTAGGTGTGACGAATTTTCCTATAAAGGGCCAGAGAGTATATGTTTTAGCCTTTGTGGGCCACATGGTCTCTGTCAGAACTACTCAGATCTGCTATTACATATTACAGTACAAAAGCAGCCATCCATAATATGTAAACAAACAGGTGGGGCTGTGTGCCAATAAAGCTTTATTTACAAAAACAAGAGGCAGGCAGAATTTGACCCATGGACTCCTACTGACCAGAGGATAAGCCCTCTATCGGTTTTACCTACGGTTAAACCTTCAGTATCAACAAGATTGCCTGCCTGGATTATGACCGATGCCTAGTACATATTTGTTGAATGCTGAATTCCAGAACTTTAGATAGGGACTTAGAGAAAACTAGGTCCCTAACATATGTTTACAGAATTGAACCTCAATTAAAAGGAAGCACTATTTTTATATGATGGTTCAGTTTGAATATTTGTGTGGTTCATAAAATTTAGATGAACTCCGTGGCTGGCAGTTCTACATAGATTATTTTAGAACAAGCATGTTTGGGAGATGTCCTCCTAACTTTCTGATAGAACAAGTTTGCCCTCCTATGAATTGTATCTTGGTGCAATTGATATTTGATTCAATCAATAATAATGGATACGGCTCTTAAGGATAAATAAGTCTTATAGATAGAACTAGGGCAGGACCTTCAGCTTTTGGGATCAGGTCATTCAAATTTAGTTAAGTGTTAAAAGTTTTAGCTAATGATTTCAAAAGATTGTGTAACTTTAAAAAGTTTGTCTCCTTTATAAGTTGACAGTATACACACACCTTCAACAGCAGGGAAACAACTGAACTGTGAGCCTACTTGGTGGGGCAGAGTCAGAGTGAGTTATCAGAGAGCTCACATCGCCCACACATCAGGGGGTCCTACCATGAATTATGCAGCTGGGGAATGAGAACGTGTTTATCTCTAGGGCTGATTAGCAACTGAGACCCTCTGATCCAGGGTATGCCCCGAGAATCACCTTAAGGCTTTCTTCCTGAAGTAAGCTATTATGCTGTTTCAAGTCCAAGTTCTTTTCTCGCTCATACCGGAGCTCTTTTTCAGCCGAGTTACACAGAATCTGGAGCCGGTGCAAATTCTGACGAAGCTGGTCTACACCATCTTGCTGCTGGTATTTCACCTTCTCTCCAGATGATGGACACTAAACAAACATTTTAAAAGAGAAACATGGGCAATTTGAAAGAATATTGGTAAAACATGGGTTCCAGCTCAGAAGCAGAAATGTCAGAACTATTCACACGTAAATATTCTTGGAGTTGGCTTACCTCCAGCAAGTTACTCTCTTTTATATTTATGGCCATTTGGTACATGTTCACATAATTTAACTCCCGTTATTTTAGAGTGAAAATATCAATGAAATTATTTGAGCAAAGCAGTTAAGCATAGACAATTAACTTCCTTTTCTTACGAATGAAGGGAAAGAGAAGCATGGACCATTTAATAGTAAAACATGCTTTAAATGGGGAGTTCAAAGAGCCAATATGTGAAGAAGGAAAAAGTGTGAATGTGTACATATTGTGTGTGTGTGTGTGTGTGTGTGTGTGTGGTATCTGTTGGCAAAAAGGAAGAGAACATTTAGCAGGAGATCTTAAATTCCCAGTCTTCCTCATTGCTTTCCTGTTACTTTCACATGATTCTTCTTCAGTTACTATACAACCACACACTCCTGCAGGTCTCCAGGGCAGTAAAACCACCTTGATCAAAGGAGGAATCATGGGGTTTTCTAAAAGGTAGTCTCACATGGGTGTGCTATGTAGATAAAGAATTCAACCTTACCCAATTCAATAGATAACATATATTTAGAGTTTCCTGAGTCCTGGTCCAGTGTACTTCCTGCCCATGACTTTCTGGAAATCCCATGTCATTAGTCCAGTTCTTTCTTGCTTACAATAGAATTGCAACACAGAATTCCCCAAGTCCTATAAAGTCCTTTAATTCCTATCTTGATTTAGTCAAGAAGACAGTCTATCCAGTTTGCTTGTCCTAGAGCTGCAAGTGTCTAAGATCCCTAGAAAAAATTCTTTAATAGAATTATAATGTAATTATTAAGAACCCTAGCTTTGGAATTAGTTTCAGTCCTGAATCGATCTTGAATAAGTTAGTTTCTCTGCTTTTTATTTCCTCCATCTGAAAATGGGGATAATAATGATAACTGCTGGATGGAGTAAAGGATATGTAAGATAATGCATGCAATCACTTAGCATGATGCCTGGCACACAATAAGCACTCAGTAACATGACCCAGGACTGTGGGTGCTACCCAGCTTTATTTTAACTGCCTTCTGGTTCCATCTGAAAACAAGAATTCTCTGAAACCTGGAAACCCTTGGTCACCAATGCAGCTTCTTATTATCAGACAGCAGCTTTTAATAATCAATGGGTAACCAGTAGCCCATATGGCCACTGAATATGCCCAAACAGACATGTACAAGAGAAGCACCCCCTTAATACCAATGTACAGAAATTTTTAACCTGTTTTGAAGATGAGAAAAGCCAGAACAAAAGTTCTTCTGGCCTACGTTTTCTAGTCAAGTCACTTAGCCCGGGCAGAAATGCAAATTATTTTGCATGAAAGGCAACTAACTAGTAAAGAAGCTACCAGGCAACCAGTCAAGTGGCCAACGTAAAGGGTCTCTATTTTTCCCACGTGTAAATGGCTTCCAGGCAGAAGGTTATTACAGAGACATTTAGACTCACTCAGGCTACTAGGAACCATGTAGAACTGCAAAGGAAAGTACTTAGCTTCCTTTCTTGACCAATCAACAGATTTATTAAGCCAATTATCTTCTCCGAGTCTCAGCTGACTCATCTGCAAATTAAAGGCATAAGACCAGATAATCCGTACACAATGTCTCCTCAATTCATAATTCCTTAAGAATTAAAATGAAACAAATTGGAACCAGCATTAATTATCTTAATTTTATAGGCTTAAGATCTAGCTTTTAATATTTTCAAATATTATCTTCACACAATAAAAATTTAATATGAACCAAATCCATATACTGGTACCGATGACAAGATCATTCCTTTTGTGGAAACAATTAAAGCCTATGAGCCTTCAATACTCTCATTCAGTGGGTGTGGATGGAACAGGCTATCCAGCCTGCCAAGATGTCAAGCATCAAACCAAGTCCACTTATTCGGACTCCCTACTCATCAAACATCCTTCAGATTTGAGTTTCTTTCTGAGCTCTCTACAGGTAAACATGTGTTCATTTAAACCTGCTCAAGTGCTATTTATAACTAATTATTACAGATAATAACTGACATTCTGGTTTTAGCCAATAGTCTTGAAAGTTTGGCTTAATGTGAATTTATCCCCAAGATACAAATCTATTCTAGGGGGACTAATGCATCAAGTTTTAGAGCCTGTGAGCCTAAGGGCCAAACCTCAAATAAATTCATTAAGACAATCAATAACAGACACCTTGGGAGGGCTTTTGGAAGATGGCTTGCCAGCCTTCCTTAAGAAATTAGCTTTACAGGAGAACCGTATGCTTTCTTTTACTTTCTCAGCAAGGGGAGGCAAATGACAGGGGCTAAGACAGGTCAAGTTCTAGAGTAGACAGACCCAGCTTCCACCGCTATGTGTCATTTTGGGAAAATTATTTAACCTCTCTAAAGCCTTAGTTTCCTCATTTGTAAAGTGGCAACAACACCATCCTGCCTTGTTGTGTTGCTTAATATATATAAGGTATTTAGTGTAGTGCTTGGAACAGAGCAAATATCCAAGGATGTCATGGAAAAACATGAAGCTAGATTTTTAAACCTATAAAATTAAGTTAATTAATGGTGATTGCAGTTTGTTTCACAAACATTGGGGAAGGAAAAATCTTGAATTCAGCTCTTACAACCTTACCTGGAATGCTGTTGAACAGCAGAAATTAAGGCATCAAAGGTGATCAGCACCCCCAAATGATGTCACAAATACATAAGAGCAATAGAGCTCACCTACTTACTCATACAAGAGGAACTCACAGTTCTTTTTCTATGTATTTGCCATCTATAAGCATTCTTTAGAGTTTGACATCTGGTCTCAAGCCACAGTTGCTTAAATGTGTATGTTAGATTAAGACAACAGAGCAAAAAGGAGGTAGGCACTAGACACTAATGGGACAAGAGGGGTGAAGACCCAAAACTTCACATACACAAGAACTAAAAGGCAGAACAATTTCTAGCCACCAGTACATCAAGGTACCCTCTACACAGATAAAGTTTCTGAAATTATCATTGTACAGAACCCTGGAAACAAACAAAAACCTGTCTAAAATGTCTTTTCTCCCTTGCCTGCTTAAAGAAATGAAATAGTATGTGTGATACTGCTTTGGGACATGTAAAGTTCAAAATATAAATATGTTATTTTTTCCCAAGAGGCCCACATCTATCTTGTTTCCTGCTATAACACAGGGGCCCAACACAGGTCCTGGCAGGTCATAAATACTCCATTAATAACAGTCGGATAAAACGAGTAAGAGCAAATTACCCCTCTTTCACTCATTCGAAGTAATTACTATGGAGCAAAATTACTGAACTCTGCAAGAATTCAGTGAAACTCTAGAGGCTATGTGGTTTAAGGACCATTTGTCCTTTTACAAAGTGGCTCTTCTCCCAGATGCCCCACATAATTTTTATATATTTAATCATTTTTCACCTCCCTCCTGTGTATTAAGAGATGATTCTTCAAATAATGAGAAAGGGTACATTAAATAAAATTAATAAATGAACCCGGGTGTTAATTGTCATACTCTCCAACTCATTGTTGGAGAGTAAATGCCTTGATCATTTTAAGCTCATAAACCCAGATTTTATAATCTATGTGACCACAGTGTCCATCCTCTGCCCAAGCCTCTATGCTGCTCACTGCCCAATAAAGGGACTGCCTGGGGGACTTAAAATTAACCTTTTTTTGAACATTGGATTCATACCCCCTTTGGTCTTCTCAATAAATGCAATGGCTCCCTTCTCTTTCAAACGTGTGTGAATCTCCTTTCAGGGATCTATTTTCCTTCTTTACTGTGACTTGCCTTGTTTTCAGACCCTATATCTGCATTTCTTTTCAAATGTACTTTTGACTTCCTTTACTATTACTCTGCTTTTTTTTAATTTTATTTTTTATAAACATATAATATATTTTTATCCCCAGGGGTACAGGTCTGTGAATCACCAGGTTTACACACTTCACAGCACTCACCATAGCACTCACCCTCCCCAATGTCCATAACCCCACCCCCCCTCTCCCAACCCCCCACCCCCATCAACACTCAGTTTGTTTTGTGAGATTAAGAGTCACTTATGGTTTGTCTCCCTCCGATCCCATCTTGTTTCATTTACTCTTCTCTACTTTTTTTTCCTATGTATATTTGAAGCCATTTTTAAATGCGTATTATCAGTCTTTTGAAGTTGGCCTATGTACGTGTACGAAGGCCTCCCTCTGTGGATCTCAAAATAATTCCTAGAAAGGCATGCATACAGAAATCTTAATTTGTACTAGGGGGAACCTGCAAAATTGAGGTGTAAGAGCTAAGGCATGTTGGGAGTCACTCCCGGCATTTCTCCAGCAGGCAGATCTTGAGTAAGTAGCAAAAGCCAAACTCCAAACAATTCCAAGTCTGTGGTCTTTTACCCACCCAAACTAACTATTTTGTAATTCTAAGCCAGGCACTGATGAATAGAAAATGTGGCACAAATCCTGCCCCTCCCTACCCTGCCTCCCTGTGGGAGATGTTAAGGACCAATCGGCATTTCTTCCTGCTGAACCTAACTGGAGCCTAAGAACCCTTTAGAACAAAGTGTTTCTGTTGACTATTTTATAACCACTCAGGCCATGGTGATGATCTTGCTTAACAACTTTCATGAATGTTGATGTAAAAATGGTACTTACATCCACCGCTGGCCAGAGGAAATGGACCTGATCAGAGTACCTGTTTATAGCACCTACCTTGGCACTATTGTCATCTGAACTATCCCCCGAGCTCTGAGATTGCAGGAGGCTTTGATTTACACGATTCAGCTCTTCTCTAAGCCTCTCGATTTCCTCAGGCTTCAAGATCAACTGCTGTCCTTCACCCTCCATACTTTGGTTCTGTTGTGAGTCCTCCTCCTTCTGCCTCTCTCCTGGCAAAGTGCCCTCCTTTACTGACTC